TGATACATTTGAATAATTGTGCAGGTCTAGGTAGACGACCGGTAGATAAGATTCAGAGAGCACTGTAATAAATGGTGGCTAACATGTAGTCCTACCCATTAAAATGACATTGACCCATCTCTCTTTCTCTCTCCCTCTTTCCCTCTCTCCCAGCACTCATCCCAGCCCCACCCCTTTGCAGGAGGGTGATTAAGATTGATTGATGTGCCATGGTGTAGAGACTGGCATGCATATTAATCATTTGTCATCTTCAGGCTGCAGACTTGGCCAGTCTCGCCATTGGCAGACAACATTTTTGGTGTGGTTGCTAATTGAAAGCTATAGGAATTCCAGTGTAATTTCACCCTTCGTAATGTCTGTTTTTACCTTTGAATAAATATATTTTGGTTACATAAAATGTTTCGAGAGGCTAGTCAAAGACCATATCACCTCCTCCCTCCCCAACGCACTCGACCCCCTCCAATTCGCCTACCGCCTTGACAGATCCATGGACGACGCAATCGCCATTGCACTGCACACTGCCCTTACCCACCTGGACAAAAGGAATGCATATGTGAGGATGCTGTTCATCGACTATAGCTCGGCCTTCAATACCATTGTGCCCTATAAGCTCTTTACAAAGCTCACGGCCCTGGGTCTGAACTCCTCTCTAAGCAACTGGGTCCTGAACTTCCTGAAGGGCCGCCCCCAGGTGGTGAACGTAGGTAACATGACCTCCTAGTCACTGATTCTCAACACAGGGGCCCCACAAGGGTACGTCCTCAGTCCTCTCCTGTATTCCCTGTATACCCTCGACTGCGTGGCCTCACACAGTTCCAACTTCATCATCAAGTTTGCTGACGATACAACAGTAGTAGGCCTGATTACCCCCCCCCCCCCCCCGACTTTACTCTGCCCCCACCCCAAACGACATTCATCACTGTTGCAGTTGTTAATATGTATATAATTTTTGTTTTTACTTCGCTTGGTCCCCACACCCCCACAATGGTCATAATGCTCCCCCTATGGTCATTCCCCCACACCCCCTTAACAGTCTTTACTCTGCCTCCACCCCAATGGACATGTATTTATTCATCACTGCTACAGTTGTTATGATGTGTATATAGTGCTATTTTCTATTTATATATTTATTTTTTTAAATTACCATTTTCATTATTTACTTTCACTTAGTCCTGCATGTTGGAGCTCGGAGCCTAAGATTTTCACTGTACCCTGCAATCACACCTGCAACCCTGTACAAAAACTCTGAATCTCTGAATCTGATGTAGGAGGTATTTTAGAAACCTGGCAAAAATGTGTTGAATTTTGTTGTGGTTCACCTAGGCTACATGCTGTTCTTTTTACCACTACGAACACTGGAAAGTATCAGACCACAACTTACATTATTTCATGTGATGGTTTTCGTTAGGGTCCATTGGATTTAACAGATCTAATTAGACTTGTCACTTTCCTCGCTTATCTATTGCACTTACCGTATCTCCTATCATCTCCCCTTTTTATTTCTCTCTATTCCCCTCTCCCTGCCCGTCTCTCTCCCTCTCCCCTTCCTTCTCTCTTCCTCCGCCTCTCTTTCTACCGCTCTCTCTTATTCCTCTGCCTTTTGCTCTCTCCCTTCATTTTCTGTCTGTCTCTTTCTTCCCCTCCTCTGCGTCGCTCCCTCTCCCCATCTCTCTCCCCTCCCTGTGGTGCAGGGCTGGGTCAGGGGGAGGGAGACTGTCTTGTGGAGGCTGGTGTATGGGCTTGAGCAGAATGGGCGGTGCTCAGTGTCTACTCGGGGCTCTAACTAGAGTGTGATTCATGGCACAGGGGGCTCCCTGGGGACAGGATTAGATGTGCTCTGTCTAAACGCTCCCCCGGGACCACAGATATTTTATCTCCAGAGTGGCCAGCCCAGTGCTAGCCTTGCAGCTCTGCTTGAACTGTGTGTTGTGCCACAGCTGATCAATATGGTTAGGTCTTTAATGATTCATTAGTCTCTTGTTGAAGCTTGCTTATTTAACACAGTGCCACCGACGAGGCCCACTACCAAGGACTGTGGCCTCTCCTTCTCCGGCCCAGACGGCACCCCTAGCCGCGTCCTCAGAGCATGCGGAGACCAGCTGGCTGGTGTGTTTACGGACATATTCAATCTCTCCCTTTCCCAGTCTGCTGTTCCCACATGCTTCAAGATGGCCACCATTGTTCCTATACCCAAGAAAGCAAAGGTAACTGAACTAAATGACTATCGCCCTGTAGCACTCACCTCTGTCATCATGAAGTGCTTTGAGAGACTAGTCAAGGATCATATCACCTCTGCCTTACCTGTCACCCAAGACCCACTTCAATTTGCTTACCGCCCCAATAGATCCACAGACGATGCAATCGCCATCACACTGCCCTATCCCATCTGGACAAGAGGAATACCTATGTAAGAATGCTGTTCATTGACTATAGCTCAGCATTCAACACCATAGTACCCTCCAAGCTCATCATTAAGCTCGAGGCCCTGGGTCTGAACCCCGCCCTGTGCAACTGGGTCCTGGACTTCCTGACGGGCCGCCCCCAGGTGGTGAAGGTAGGAAACAACATCTCCACTTCGCTGATCCTCAACACTGGGGCCCCACAAGGGTGCATGCTCAGCCCCCTCCTGTACTCCCTGTCCACATCGACGGGACCACAGTGGAGTGTTGGTAGAGCATGGCGCTTGCAACGCCAGGGTTGTGGGTTCGATTCCCACTGGGGACCAGTATGAAAAAGTGTATACACTCACTAACTCTAAGTCGCTCTGGATAAGAGCGTCTGCTAAATGACTAATAATAATAATAATATGCCATTTAGCAGACGCTTTTATCCAAAGTGACTTACAGTCATGCGTGCATAAATGTTTACGTATGGGTGGCCCCGGGGATCGAACCCACTACCCTGGCGTTACAAGCGCCATGCTCTACCAATTGAGCTACAGAGGACCACGACTAAAATGTAAAAATGAGAAGGTGGAAAGCTTCAAGTTCCTTGGCGTACACATTACTGACAAACTGAAATGGTCCACCCACGCAGGCAGTGTGGTGAAGAAGGCGCAACAGAGCCTCTTCAACCTCAGGAGGCTGAAGAAATTTGGCTTGGCACCTAAAACCCTCACAAACTTTTACAGATGCACAATTGAGAGCATCCTGTCGGGCTGTATCACCGCATGGTACGGCAACTGCACCGCCCGCAACCGCAGGGCTCTCCAGAGGGTGGTGCGGTCTGCCGAAACGCATTACCGGGGGCAAACTACCCGCCCTCCAGCACCCGATGTCACAAGAAGGTCAAAAAGATCATCAAGGACATCAACCACCCGAGCCACTGCCTGTTCACCCCGCTATCATCCAGAAGGCGAGGTCAGTACAGGTGCATCAAAGCTGGGACCGAGATAATGAAAAACAGCTTCTATCTCAAGGCCATCAGACTGTTAAATAGCCATCACTAGCACATTAGAGGCTGCTGCTGCCTATTGAAATCACTGGCCACTTTAAGAAATGGAACACTAGTCACTTTAATAATGTTTACATATCTTGCACTACTCATCTCATATGTATATACTGTATTCTATAATATTCTACTGTATCTTAGTCCATGCCGCTCTGTCATTGCTTGTCCATATATGTATATATTCTTAAATCCCATTCCTTACTAGATTTGTGTGTTTTGGGTATATGTTGTGAAATTGTTAGATATTACTTACATTTACATTTACGTCATTTAGCAGACGCTCTTATCCAGAGCGACTTACAGTTAGTGAGTGCATACATTTATTTATTTATTTTATTTTTCATACTGGCCCCCCCGTGGGAATCGAACCCACAACCCTGGCATTGCAAACGCCATGCTCTACCAACTGAGCTACATCCCTGCTGGCCATTCCCTCCCCTACCCTGGACGACGCTGGGCCAATTGTGCGCCGCCCCATGGGTCTCCCGGTCACGGCCAGCTACGACAGAGCCTGGATTCGAACCAGGTTCTCTAGTGGCACAGCTAGCACTGCGATGCAGTGCCTTAGACCACTGCGCCACTCGGGAGATAGTTGTTTTTGTTAGATATTACTGCACTGTCAGAGCTGGAAGCACAGGTATTTCTCTACACCCGCAATAACTTCTGCTAAACACGTGTATGTGACAAATAAAATTTGATTTGATTTAAAGCTACTCTGTGAGATATATATATTTTTTACCATAAGAGTGGGGTCCACAAACAAAAATGCAAAAAATGGAGTAGTGGAGCAAATTCCTAGGTGCGTTCAATGACATATACATTTTCACAAATAGCAAATCAAGTTATTCCCTCACCTCCCCATAGCTGTGCTCTCAGGTTGACATTTTCCCCTAGCAATTAAAAAAAGTTTGTCTGGCATTTCAGCTACTGAAAATGTTTATCTAACTCAGAATTCTTGACTGAACAGAAAGCCCCTCCACTATTTGCAATGATGTAGCCCAAATAATCTTTGGCAATGCAGCTGATTTAATGATGATCTTGAAAAGCAGTTGTCTTCATGAGTGTGTCGACCTTTCTCTATGCGTCACCCCCATGAAGCAGCAATTAGCCATTTTGTTTGCTTAGCGATGATGTGAGTGAGAGGGAATAAAGGGATTTTTGTGGCACCCCTGGAGAGAGGTGGTGAAAGCTACATACAACCTCATTAGCATAGTCGCACCACATCTCATTTCCATACAATTACTGGCCATTTTCTTTGTCATTGTTAAGAGGTTGCTTACTTAGCCTGCCATCCCAAGCCAATTCCCTGCTTGGCAGAATGGATTTTTGGATGATGAAAATATGTTTGTTTTTTTACTCCTGAAGGACATTTCTTTAAATGTGTGGGAACTAACAAATATCCTACATGAAATGGCCAATTTATTCAAATTCAAGATGTGACACATGGGATGCCTGTTTTGTGGATTTTCTGTGTATGAAACAGTGCATATTCCCCACATGTATAAACCCTTACCCAACAATGTGTAATTGATGCCTGTTCCTCTTCTCAGGGGCTTCGTCTATGACAGTAGAAATAACCTTCAGATGAGGGGCCTGGTGGTCCTACTGATGTCCAAGGCAGCCGGTCCCAGCCAGCACACAGCCTCAGACCTCCTCCCCCAGGACATGGTCAGCGGCATCTACCCCAGGTAAACGCGCCTCTCTGGGGCTTTGTCTTCACATTCTTCTATAGCTTCCTTTCCTTTATTACCACTGACTTGGTGAAAAGACAGGAACATACTTTTCATTGCTCCTGATCTGACAGCACACACACCAGCTCCAATTGATGTCCTTTTTTCCGATGACGACATTCACTCATGCGCGCACACCGCACATACACAGAATGTTGCCCAGAACAGGGAATTTTGTGTGAAGATCACTCTACAACCTTGCCAAGTGGTTACCAGAAGTCGCTGTTGTGTTTGGCAGGTGATGCACTAGGTATCTGAATGGCCCTTTTCTTGCTCCTAGCTGGCAAGCAGCACTGCCTCTACTAAAGGATCAGTGAGGGAGTCTGTCAAGCAGGGCGGGTGGGGGGGATATTGTGGGGTGGCTGTAATGAATATGCGTACAGTCTGACTTATCAAGTTATTAACCATGGACAAGATTAGGGCACCAGCTATTGAAATGACCAACAATTCAGATTACAGAGAATGAACGGTATCTTGAAAACTACTTCTGTATGTTTTTTAATCTTCTGTTTTGGACTCGACGTGTCAATGTATGGTTCATACATGCATAGTACACCATTTGTTATCTTTTCCTGGTGGAGAAAACCTAGAAATACATTGAATGAATAAAATATTCGGAGTGGCTACGTTTCCGGATTTTCTGGAACCCAGAAGTTTTGGACTAAAGATAGATTTCTGCGCATGTGCAGGATCCGCTGTGCACTTCCCCCTTCAGAGTCCTTTCAGCTGTGCTCACTCATTCCGTGACTCCTCTGCCGCTTGTTCGAACAAACGTAGTTATTTATCTGTTGTAACAGTGATCAAATCAAACATAAGCATGACACAACAGGCATTCTAGAGATTTCAGTTAGCCTACATGCAGCTATTAAGGCAAGCTATATACAGTAGTGGTCAAAAGTTTTGAGAATGACACAAATATTAATTTTCACAAAGTCTGCTGCCTCAGTTTTTATGATGGCAATTTGCATATACTCCATAATGTTATGAAGAGTGATCAGATGAATTGCAATTAATTGCAAAGTCCCTCTTTGCTATGAAAATGAACTTAATCCCCCAAAAACATTTCCACTGCATTTCAGCCCTGCCACAAAAGGACCAGCTGCCATCATGTCAGTGATTCTCTCTGTTAACACAGGTGAGAGTGTTGACGAGGACAAGGCTGGAGATCACTCTGTCATGCTGATTGAGTTAGAATAACAGACTGGAAGCTTTAAAAGGAGGGTGGTGCTTGAAATCATTGTTCTTCCTCTGTTAACCATGGTTACCTGCAAGGAAACACGTGCCGTCATCATTGCTTTGCACAAAAAGGGCTTCACAGGCAAGGATATTGCTGCTAGTAAGATTGCACCTAAATCAACCATTTATCGGATCATCAAGAACTTCAAGGAGAGAGGTTCAATTGCTGTGAAGAAGGCTTCAGGGCGCCCAAGAAAGTCCAGCAAGCGCCAGGACCGTCTCCTAAAGTTGATTCAGCTGCGGGATCGGGGCACCACCAGTGCAGAGCTTGCTCAGGAATGGCAGCAGGCAGGTGTGAGTGCATCTGCACGCACAGTGAGGCGAAGACTTTTGGAGGATGGCTTGGTGTCAAGAAGGGCAGCAAGGAAGCCACTTCTCTCCAGGAAAAACATCAGGGACAGACTGATATTCTGCAAAAGGTACAGGGATTAGACTGCTGAGGACTGGGGTAAAGTCATTTTCTCTGATGAAACCCCTTTCCGATTGTTTGGGGTATCTGGAAAAAAGCTTGTCTGGAGAAGACAAGGTGAGCGCTACCATCAGTCCTGTGTCATGCCAACAGTAAAGCATCCTGAGACCATTCATGTGTGGGGTTGCTTCTCAGCCAAGGGAGTGGGCTCACTCACAATTTTGCCTAAGAACACAGCTATGAATAAAGAATGGTACCAACACATCCTCCGAGAGCAACTTCTCCCAACCATCCAAGAACAGTTTGGTGACGAACAATGCCTTTTCCAGCATGATGGAGCACCTTGCCATAAGGCAAAAGTGATAACTAAGTGGCTCGGTGAACAAAACATCGACATTTTGGGTCCATGGCCAGGAAACTCCCCAGACCTTAATCGCATTGAGAATCTGTGGTCAATCCTCAAGAGGCGGGTGGACAAACAAAAACCCACAAATTCTGACAAACTCAAAGCATTGATTATGCAAGAATGGGCTGCCATCAGTCAGGATGTGGCCCAGAAGTTGATTGACAGCATGCCAGGGCGGATTGCAGAGGTCTTGAAAAAGAAGGGTCAACTCTGCAAATATTGACTCTTTGCATAAACTTAATGTAATTGTCAATAAAAGCCTTTGACACTTATGGAATGCTTGTAATTATACTTCAGTATACCATAGTAATACTAAATGGTAATCATTTTGCACTATGGCCTATTTATTGCCTTACCTCCATAACTTACTACATTTGCACACACTGTATATAGATCTTCTATTGTGTTATTGACTGTACGTTTTGTTTATCCCATATGTAACTCTGTGTTGTTGTTTTTATCGCACTGCTTTGCTTTATCTTGGCCAGGTCGCAGTTGTAAATGAGAACTTGTTCTCAACTGGTTTACCTGGTTAAATAAAGGTGAGAAAAAGAAAAAAAATTGTAACATCTGACAAAAATATCTAAAAACACTGAAGCAGCAAACTTTGTGAAGACCAATACTTGTGTCATTCTCAAAACTTTTGACCACGACTGTACAAAGTATATCAACCAGCAAGACACAGACAGACAGTCAATAGCGATTTAATGTGCAAACATTGGCTATTGGGAGGCAGAGTTCTTTTTTCAGCAACTCTGGCTATATGGCAGCATAACTATAAAGATGACATCATCACACAAAACGCTGATAGTTTTGGCCCAATGCAATGTATAGACTCTTTAATCGTAGCCTCGGTTTAAAATACTTAGTGCATGTGAGTTATGCACTTGTCCCTTTCATAGTGAATGTGCATTTACAAATTCGGAACATACTGTATTGTACGCATTGGAATTCGTAACAAATCATGCGAATTGGAGGACGTAACATATCAATCATACGAAATGGATAATGGACATCCACAAATGCATACGTAACATATCATATTAAATGGAGGGACACAAATGTACTTGTTACGTTAGAAGATAATTGTCAACACGATCAGAAACACTGTGCTCACAACCTTTATCTCCTAAATTGTGTCGCTGGTGTATGTTGTTTGAATTTTGGAATATAAATTGCGCAGTAGGCTATAAGGCTTTTACCAGGTGCGAGTCCATCTATTTATCCTGTTGGCGCCACAACACATTTAACTTATATGCGCTCGAGAAATCTATACTGAAGCAAACGTTCACCCACTTTTTTGATAAGAAAATATCGACCTACCTTTTTGTTATGTCAACCATCCATCAAAATCAAATAATTCCATGTGTCTTCCTTCTGTCTTTATAAACGTTCACACACATATTCCATGATATGGGGTAATCTGGGCAACATCAGCTGTTGATTGCCAGCGATCATCATTCATCACGTAACGTAATCGAATTCTATATATAATCAATACACAACTTCCAAGGAATAGGGTATTTGATGCGACATAAGTATCATTTTTCCATTGTATACATTTACATTATCACCTTTGCTCGCTCGTGGAAGGCAATTTGGCCCTGGCTTGCAAACGAAATCCGTTGCATCATTTTGTAAATTATTGTCATTTACTCTACCGATTTGAACATGTAAATCTAATAACCGCATATTTTATTTACCCCAATAAGAAATGGGACAGCAAGCATAAATCACATTTCGATAGATGCATCAGTAGGCTATCTGCAAAGGGGAAATTATTTATAGATACAAAGTGCTTTCATTTCTAAACGGTAAAAACAAAGTTGGATGAAAATGCCCTCAAATAAAAGGTCACATTCTGTACTGTCGCCTCATTTGAAACATTTTAATTACAAATCCAAGGTGCGGGAGTAGAGAGCCAAATTTAAAAGTTTTAGCTTCACTTTCCAAATAAATACAGAGAGGAGTGTATGTTCGCTGTCAGCTGGTGGCTACTATAGGAAAGTTACAATCTAATAAAACATTAGTTAAATAACAAATTATTTTAGTCCAGGGGTCGTGTTAACCCAGGATTCTGTGTTTAATACGCAGAAAAGGAAAGATAAAACGCAGAAAAATATCTATCTTGCTGCGTTTTGTAAAAGCAGATCTAGAAAGGCTTCAGTCAGGTTTAGCTCCATATCATGAATGTAAGAGGAGTAATTTTGTGCTTCAGTTATATTTGCTCTAGTCATTGGATCACCAGACAGCACTCTGACTGATGTGTATGCTACTTTTCTCCGGTAATTTCCTCTGGTGTAGTTTTTCTCTTCGTAAAATGTAAGATTAACTTGAAGCAAAACATTAGGAAATCTAGCTGGCTACATTCTTGCTATGATAAACATAATTATAATTGCCATGCATATTTTTTGCAAAAATACCTTGCTTTAGTAAACTAATTTACTTATGTGTGGCTGCTAGCAAAATGGCATTGCACATGTCTGTTGTCATCTGATAAATATTGAATGTATTGCACTAAATGAAAAGCTGAAATGTCTTGAGTCAATAAGTGTGCTTAATAAGTCACATAAGTTGCATGGACTCTGTGTGCAATAATAGTGTTTAACATGATTTTTAAATGACTACCCCATCTCTGTACCCCACACATACAATTATCTGTAAGGTCCCTCAGTCGAGCAGTGAATTTCAAGCACAGATTCCACCACAAAGACCAGGGAGGTTTTCCAATGGTTCGCAAAGAATGGCATCTATTGGTAGATGGGTAAAAAAAAGCAGACAATGAATATACCTTTGAGCATGATGCAGTTATTAATTACACTTTGGATGGTATATCAATACACCCAGTCACTACAAAGATACAGGCACCCTTCCTAACTCGGTTGCAAAAAAAAGAGAAGAAGAAATAAACCGCTTTGATTTCACCATGAGGCCAATGGTGATTTTAAAACCGGCTGTGATACGAGATAACTGAGGCTGGATCAACAACATGGTAGTTACGCCACAATATTTACATAAATTACAGAGTGGAAAGAAGGAAGCATGTAAATAAATATCAAATTCCAAACCATGCATCCTGTTTGCAATATGGCACTAAAGTAATACTGCAAAAATGTGGCAAAGAAATTAACTTTTTGTCCTGAATACAAAGCATTATGTTTGGGGTATATCCAACACATCACCAAAAACATATTTTCAAGCATGGTGGTGGCTGCATCATGTTATGGGTATGCTTGTCATTGGCAAGGATTAGGTAGATAAAAATAAACGTAATAGAGCTAAGTACAGGCAAAATCCTAGAGGAAAACATGGTTGTCTGCTTTCCAACAGACATTGGGAGACAAATTCACCTTTTAGCAGGACAATTACCTAAATCACAAGGCCAAATATACACTGGAGTTGCTTACCAAGACGACATGGTATGTTCCTGAGTGGCCTAAATGAGGCTGCATTTATTGTAGCCAGGGATTTTAACAAAGCAAATTTGAGGACTAGGCTGCCGAAGTTCTATCAACATATTGACTGTTGTACTCGCGCTGCTAAAATCCTCGACCATTGCTATTCAAACTTCCGACATGGTTATAAGGCCCTCCCCCGCCCTCCTTTCGGCAAATCTGACCACGACTCCATTTTGCTTCTCCCGTCCTATAGGCAGAAACTCAAACAGGAAGTACCCGTGCTAAAGACTATTCAACGCTGGTCTGACCAATCGGAATCCACGCTTCAAGATTGTTTTGATCACGCGGACTGGGATATGTTCCGGGTAGCTTCCGAAAATAATTTAGAAATATACACTGAAATGGTGACTGAGTTTATCAGGAAGTGTATAGGTGATGTTGTGCCTACTGTGACTATTAAAACCTACCCTAACCAGAAACCGTGGATAGACGGCAGCATTCAAGCAAATCTGAAAGCGCGAACCACCGCATTCAACCATGGCAAGGTGACTGGGAATATGGCAGAATACAAACAGTGTAGCTACTCACTCCGCAAGGCAATTAAACTGGCAAAACATCAGTATAGTGTCACGATCGTCTTGACGAGAAGTAGACCAATACGCAGCGTGTTGAGCGAACATGATTGACATTATTACCGTCAGTGATAATAAGCACACTAAACAAAAACAATAAACGACTCGTGAAGTCCACGGTGACAAAGACCGACAAGGAACAAAAACCCACAACCACAAAGTGAAACACAGACAGTTAAATATGGCTCCCAATCAGAGACAACCAGCACACAGCTGACACTCGTTGCCTCTGATTGGGAGTCACTCAGTCAAACATAGAAAATGACGAACTAGAAACACCCAACATAGAAACAGAACACATAGAATGAACACACCCTGGCTCAACATATAGAGTCCCAGAACCAGGGTGTGACAGTACCCCCCCCTAAAGGCGCGGACTGCGACCGCGCCTAAATACGAGCAAAACAGGGGAGGGCTGGGTGGGCATTCCTCCTCGGCGGCGGCTCCGGCTCCGGGCTTGCCCACCACCCTCCAACAAACCCCCCATAGCGCCCCTGGTCCGGTCTGGCCCCGCTGGCTGGAGCTGGACTGGACGTAGCAGGAGCGGTAGGCTTCAGCTCCTTAGTGGAGCAGTTGAGCGGTACCTGAATTGGCACCGATGACCCAGGCACGGGTTGTGCCGGACTGACGACTCGCACCCCTGGCTTGGTGCGAGTGGCAGGAACGGGCCGGGCCGGGCTGGCGACGCGCACCGTAGACTTGGTGCGAGTGGCAGGAACAGGCCGGACCGGGTTGGCGACGCACACCGTAGGCTTGGTGCGTGGAGCAGGGACAGGCCGGGCTGGGCTGGCGACGCACACCGTAGGCTTGGTGCGTGGAGCAGCAACTGGCCGGACTGGGCTGGCGACGCACACCGTAGGCTTGGTGCGTGGAGCAGGAACAGGCCGGGCTGGGCTGGCGACGCACACCGTAGGCTTGGTGCGTGGAGCAGGGACAGGCCGGGCTGGGCTGGCGACGCACACCGTAGGCTTGGTGCGTGGAGCAGGAACGGGTTGGACCAGGCTGACGACTCGCACCGTAGGCTTGGTGTGAGGGGCAGGAACATGCCGGGCTGGGCTGGCGGCGTGCACCTTACACTTAGTGCGGGAAACAGGAACGGGCCGGACCGGACTGGTGACGCACACCACTTGCTTGGTGTGAGGAGCGGGACTGGGTTTCGTCATAACCCCCCCGCTCCCTCAGCTGCCTACCGAGTTCCTCTCGCCGTGCCTCCTTTCTCACCCTTTCCCTTATCGCCTCCAAATGCTCCATCCTCTGCAACACTACCTCCTGCTCCCTCGTCGTCCCTGCCGTGTGCCCCCCCCTAAAAATGTTTTGGGGTTGCCTCTCGCCTGTCCGACGTTGACCCTGCTGACGCCGCTGCTCCTCTCTCCGTCGCCTCTCCACCGTCTCACTCCATGGCCGGCGATCCATCCCGGCCAGGATTTCCTCCCAGGTCCAGGACCCCTGCCCGTCCAAGATCTGCTCCCACGTCCAGGCTGCCTGCTCCTGGACACGCTGCTTGGTCTTGGTATGGTGGGTTTTTCTGTCACGATCGTCTTGACGAGAAGTAGACCAATACGCAGCGTGTTGAGCGAACATGATTGACTTTATTACCGTCAGTGATAATAAGCACACTAAACAAAAACAATAAACGACTCGTGAAGTCCACGGTGACAAAGACCGACAAGGAACAAAAACCCACAACCACAAAGTGAAACACAGACAGTTAAATATGGCTCCCAATCAGAGACAACCAGCACACAGCTGACACTCGTTGCCTCTGATTGGGAGTCACTCAGTCAAACATAGAAAATGACGAACTAGAAACACCAAACATAGAAACAGAACACATAGAATGAACACACCCTGGCTCAACATATAGAGTCCCAGAACCAGGGTGTGACATATATAGAGACAAAGTGGAGTCGCAATTCAACTGCTCAGACACGAGACGTATGTGGCAGAGTCTACAGACAATCACGGACTACAAAAAGAAAACCAGCCACATCGCCGACACCGACGTCTCGCTTCCAGACAAGCTAAACACCTTCTTCGCCCGCTTTGAAGATAACACAGTGCCACTGACGAGGCCACTACCAAGGACTGTGGCCTCTCCTTCTCCATGGCCGACGTGATTAAGACATTTAAGCATCTTAACCCCGCAAGGCTGCCGGCCCAGACGACATCCCTAGCCGCGTCCTCAGAGCATGCGCAGACCAGCTGGCTGGTGTGTTCATGGACATATTCAATCTCTCCCTTTCCTAGTCTGCTGTTCCCACATGCTTCAAGATGGCCACCATTGTTCCTGTACCCAAGAAAGCAAAGGTAACTGAACTAAATGACTATTGCCCTGTAGCACTCACCTCTGTCATCATGAAGTGCTTTGAGAGACTAGTCAAGGATCATATCACCTCTACCTTACCTGTCACCCTAGGCCCACTTCAATTTGCTTACCGCCCCAATAGATCCACAGACAATGCAATTGCCATCACACTGCCCTATCCCATCTGGACAAGATTAATACCTATGTAAGAATGCTGTTAATTGACTATAGCTCAGCATTCAACACCATAGTACCCTCCAAGGTCCTGGACTTTCTGACGGGCCACCCCCAGGTGGTGAAGGCAGGAAACAACATCTCCACTTCGCTGATCCTCAACACTGGGGCCCCACAAGGGTGCGTGCTCAGCCCCCTCCTGTACTTCCTGTTCACCCATGACTGCGTGGCCAAGCACGCCTCCAACTCAATCATCAAGTTTGCAGACGACACAACAGTAGTAGGCTTGATTACCAACAATGACGAGACCGCCTACAGGGAGGAGGTGAGGGCTCTGGGAGTGTGGTGCCAGGAAAATAACCTCTCACTCAACATCAACAAAACAAAGGAGATGATCGTGGACTTCAGGAAACAGCAGAGGGTGCACCCCCCTATCCACATCGACAGGACCGCAGTGGAGAAGGTGGAAAGCTTCAAGCCGCCCACAACCGCAGGGCTCTCCAGAGGGTGGTGCGGTCTGCCGAACGCATTATCGGGGGCAAACTACCCGCCCTCCAAGACACATACAGCACCCGATGTCACAGGAAGGCCAAAAAGATCATCAAGGACATCAACCACCCGAGCCACTGCCTGTTCACCCCGCTATCATCCAGAAGGCGAGGTCAGTACAGGTGCATCAAAGCTGGGACCGAGATAATGAAAAACAGCTTCTATCTCAAGGCCATCAGACTGTTAAATAGCCATCACTAGCACATTAGAGGCTGCTGCTGCCTATTGAAATCACTGGCCACTTTAAGAAATGGAACACTAGTCACTTTAATAATGTTTACATATCTTGCACTACTCATCTCATATGTATATACTGCATTCTATTCAATAATATTATTCTGTATCTTAATCCATGCCGCTCTGTCATTGCTTGTCCATATATGTATATATTCTTAAATCCCATTCCTTACTAGTTTTGTGTGTATTGGGTATATGTTGTGAAATTGTTAGATATTACTGCACTGTCTGAGCTAGAAGCACAAGCATTTCGCTACACCCGCTATAACATCTGCTAAACACGTATGTGACGAATAACATTTGATTTGAGGTTTGACTTCAATCAGCCTGAAAATCTGTAGCAAGACTTGAAAATGGCTGTCTAGCAATGATCAACAACCAACTTGACAGAGCTTGAATAATTGTTTTAATAATATTGGGCAAATATTGTACAATTCAGGTGTGCAAAGCGCTTAGAGACCTACCCAGAAAGACTCAGCTGTAATCGCTGCCAAAGGTGATTCTAACATGTATTGACTTGAGGGATTGAATACTTATCTAATCAAGATACTGTATATTAGCATTTTATTTTCCATACATTTTTGTTAGATGTTTTTCTTCCACTTTGACAGAGTATTTTGTGTAGATCATTGACAAGAAATGACAAATAAATCAATTTGAATCCCACTTTGTAACACAACAAAATGTGGAGAAAGTAATAGGGTGTGAATACTTTCTGAAGGCACTGTATGTGACATTGTGCACAATTTTCAGGGACCCTTTTTGGCTCTTGAGTGCTACATTTAAAGCTACTGGCTTAAAGTATACAAAACCTTTGTAGTGTCACTTTAAAAAAAAAAAGAAAAGCTAGAAATCTACATCAGAATCCTCATAATGCATAAGTTTCATGACCTCATGTGCCTGCTACTAAGTCGTGACTCATGATGACTAACTATATTATATTGTACTGACTTTTGCATTTGTATACACAATCATATGTGTGTAGACTCACACAAACACTAAACCTAACCCTAGCTCAAAACCCTAAACCTAATTCTAACCCTAACACTAATTCAAACCTTAACCCTAAACCCCCTAGAAATAGCATTTGACCTTGTGGGGACTAACAAAATGTCCCCAGTTGTGTTTGTTTACTATTCTTGTGGGGACACGTCCATACGCACGCACGCTCAGAGAAACCTCTACTGGGTCACCTCATTTGCGCCTTTCTTTCTGTACCACAACCCCCATTTCCCTCTCTCTCGTTCTGTCTCGCCCCCCTCTTCCCTGTCAGAGGGTGGGCTCATTAGCACCTGGGCCGGAGCACTGATGGGGGGGATTGATTGATACCTCTAGGGGAATGTTCTCCCCCCTCCTGACAGCCAGCATTTGTAAAATGTCTCCCACTCCAGTGCCCAATACTGATGGCTCACCGGGGAACTAAACATAGAGAGAGGGCCAGAGCTGTACGGAATCAGAGAGATGGAGCGAGAAAGACAGACAAAATCAGAGAGAGTGATAAAGACACAGACAGACATTCAGAGAGGGAGAAGCCAGATACACAGCTGTATTGCAGGGTAATGGGGACCCTGTAGAGGGAGGAAAATGGAACAGAACACTCAGGACAAGGGGCGTGTTGGGGGCGGGAACGCCTCAGCAAGATGGCATCAGTTGCTATGCAACCGGGTGCCAAAGCTATTTATACACAAGTTCCCTTTTTCCTCTCCTGGCGAAGACTCTGCTTATCATGAGTTGTAGATCTAAGGCAGAGAACGGGCGAGGACTCTGTAGGGGTCCTAGGGTGGGGTGGGAGGAGTGGTGGTGTCAGAATAGCTCCTATTGCCAACATTATTATTATTTAGCTGCATTTGTACAGGATGTACTCAATATCCTGCTTTTTACTTTTGCTGCAGTAACAATGTGTTCGGTATTTGTCTGAGATTTGTACCAAGGTTACTATTTGATATAGGGAGTATGACCAGATAAATTATTAAACTGCATTGAATGTTGAATCCAATAATCAAATAGGCCTATTTTGAATGTAAGGTCCAATTACATCATGTTAAATTAGATCAATTGTTCTCAACATTTAGGCTGTCATTTTCATCCCTAACAGCAACACAATTGCATCCTGTGTGTGTTAACAATAACATCAATGCAGTGGCAGGGATTGAAATGAAAGACATTGCCAAATCTACTCCTCTCCACAGAAGGGGTACAATAGATATGATTGAGCAGAGAAATAAATTATTGCATTTTAATAACAACTCTCTCTGAGCAACTGTAGAACATGCAATTACCTGCTATACGACGTATTATGGGCAGGAACAACTAGAATTGACAGACGACTGGAATTGAAATGTCTTATCAGGACTGTTTCACACCGGCTGAAAGATGGTCCTAAGTGGCCATCATCGCACCCATCCCTGGCTCCCTCCACAGACAGATCCCCCAGTCTGTCTCGCCCTGGCAGGCTCAGCCCATATGGAGAGGGACGTAATTATCCACCCGCAATGAATGAATCAACATTTGATTATAGGCTCCCTCAGGCCAAGTTCAAAGGCTCCATTCAAAAACCACTTGCACTTCTTTTCTGGTAATCAAGAATAACTGTTATTTCTAAGGACTATTATGGCACTGAGTAAAGGCTTATTTATTTTTCCTCAATAATGGTAAACTTTTTTTCTCCAATTTCTATAAAATCTATTCAAAATCTATTTTAAAAAAGCTCTGAAAAATTGTCTAATTTGTAGGATGTGTGAACGCGCTTTGGTGATGAAATGTCACTTCCTTATGCTATAAAATACATTGTACCAAGACAAATATAATTATTCATGTTCTGAATCGTTTAGTGGGGTTTTTGACCTGACGTAGATCTGTTTCGGATCGAAACGTTGTTAATAAAGCGGTGAATTAGGAGCTTTAACAGTGTGCAGGCATAATTGTTCTATACAGTTTTTTTCTAACATATCATTAACATATCCCAAAAGTTGGATTTCGTAAAATAATACATCCGATAGTAACCACCGAGCTCTGTTGACATAGCGGTGCAGGTTTCTCGTAACAACTTTTGAGGATTTTACATTTTGTGATGGTCGTCTTCAAAGTTGTTTCCGCAGGTCGCAAAAACCAACATTAGCATGACAGAGCTAAATTAAATGTAAAAGGCTTTGAAAATAAAAAGCTTGGTTATACGCTCAGTGCTCCGTTGATATTTCAGAGATACGTTTGTTTTTGTGGGAAATCTTCGAAAAATAACAGGAATTTTGAATTAATATGCAAATCGTATACTAAAATATGAAAATACTACGTCATGTCTCAAAATCGATATCCTGCGGATTCGAGAAGAAAGATGACGAGTTCAATGGGAAAGTGAGCCTGTCAGGTAGACAGGAGCCTTAATTCTAGCACAGAATCCGCAGAATATTTTGTAAATATTTTTTGTATTTTACCCTCTTTATTTTTCTCCCCAATTTCGATCTTGTCTCATCACTGCAACCCCAACGGGCTCGGGAGGCGAAGGTCGACTCGTGTCCTCCGAATCAAAACAAACCGCGCTTCTTAACACCCGCCCACTTAACCCGGAAGCCAGCCGTACCAATGTGTCAGAGGAAACACAGTTCACCTGACGACCGAGGTCAGGCTGCAGGCGCCCGGCCCGCCACAAGGAGTCGCTAGAGCGCGATGAGCCAAGTAAAGCCTCCCCCCGGCCAAACCCTCCCCTAACCCAGACGACGCTGGGCCAACTGTGCGCCGCCCTATGGGACTCCCGATAGCCCGGGAACGAACCAGGGTCTGTAGTGATGTCTCTAGCACTGTGACACTCGGGAGCCCAACTTTCCTGATTTTTGACCACTTTTTTTTCTTCTTCTCTGGCCTCCATTGATTTTAATTCTGACCATGCTACAATGGTAAAAACTCAAAAAAAAACATTTGAACGGATTATGATAGAGACATGAGGTTTGGACTATTGGTTTTATGAGAGGATTATCTACACACTTATTTTACCCATTGGTCAAAATATGTTTTTGATTGGACACCCTATAATTTGCACTTTTGATTTTTAAACCATTGGAACTCATAACATTTGATACATACATGCTGTTGTAGAAGTGAATGTGAAATACAATAAGCTCCAAAAGTATTGGGACAGTGACACATTTTGTTGTTTTGGATTTGAAATGATACAATGACTTTGAGGTTAAATTGCAGACTGTCAGCTTTAATTTGAGGGTGAACCGTTTAGAAATTACAGCATTCATTTTTTTCATAGTACCCCCATTTTAGGGGACCAATAGTATTGGGACGAATTCACTTGTGTGTTAAAGTAGTAAAAAGTTCTGTATTTGGTCCCATATTCATAGCACACAATGACTACATCAATCTTGTGACTCTATAAATTGGTTGGATGAATTTGCTGTTTGTTTTGGTTGTGTTTCAGATTATTTTGTGCCCAATAGAAATTAATGGTAAATAATGTATTGTGTCATTTTGGAGACACTTTATTGTAAATAAGAATATAATATGTTTCTCAACACTTCTACATGGATGTAGAAGTGTGTTTGGTTTTCGCCAGGCATAATGGGACCCAACTCGTCCAAAAAGTTAACTCAAGTTTTCCAAAAAGCACCTGGATGATCATCAAGACTCTTGGAAGAACGTTCTATGGACAGATGATTCAAAAGTATAACTTTTTGGATGACATGGTTCCAGTAATGCCTGGCGAAAACCAAACTCTGCATTCCACAGTAAGAACATCATACCAAAGGTCAAGCATGGTGGTGGTGGTGTGATGGTTTGGGGATGCTTTGCTGCCTCAGGACCTGGAGGCCTTAATAGAAGGAACCATGAATTCTGCTCTGTATCAGATAATTCTACAGGAGAATGTCAGACCATCCGTCTGTGAGCTGAAGCTGAAGCGCAGCTGGGTCATGCAGCAAGACAATGATCCAAAACACACAATCAAGTCTACATGAAAATAGCTAAAAAGCAACAAATTGGACGTTTTGGAATGGCCTAGTCAAAGTCCAGACCTAATCCCAATTGAGATGTTGTGGCAGGACTTGAAACGAGCAGTTCATGCTTGAAAACCCACACGTCACTGAGTTAAAGCAGTTCTGCATGGAAGAGTGAGCCAAAATCCCTCCACAGCGACGTGAGAGACTGATCAACAACTACAGGAAGCATTTGGTTGGAGCCATTGCAGCTAAAGGTGGGCACAACCAGTTATTGAGTGTAAGGGGGCAATTACTTTTTCACACAGGGGAATTGGGTGTTGCATAACTTTGTTTATGAAATAAATATGTAATTGTGTTATTTGTTCACTTTATCTAATATTAGGTTTTGGTTGAAGATTTGATAACATTCAGTATCACAAATATGCAAAAGTAGAGAAAATTAGAAATGGGGCAAATACTTTTTCATTACATTTTACATTTTAGTAATTTAGCAGACACTCTTATCCAGAGCGACTTACAGTTAGTGAGTGCATACATTATTTTTATTTTATATAAATATATACACAGTGGGGGAAAAAAGTATTTAGTCAGGCACCAATTGTGCAAGTTCTCCCACTTAAATAGATGAGAGGCCTGTAATTTTCATCATAGGTACACGTCAACTATGACAGACAAATTGAGGAAAAACAAATCCAGAAAATCACATTGTAGGATTTTTTATGAATTTATTTGCAAATTATGGTGGAAAATAAGTATTTGGTCACCTACAAACAAGCAAGATTTCTGGCTCTCACAGACCTGTAACTTCTTCCTCCACTCGTTACCTGTATTAATGGCACCTGTTTGAACTTGTTATCAGTATAAAAGACACCTGTCCACGACCTCAAACAGTCACACTCCAAACTCCACTATGGCCAAGACCAAAGAGCTGTCAAAGGACACCAGAAACAAAATTGTAGACCTGCACCAGGCTGGTAAGACTGAATCTGCAATAGGTAAGCAGCTTGGTTTGAAGAAATCAACTGTGGGAGCAATTATTAGGAAATGGAAGACATACAAGACCACTGATAATCTCCCTCGATCTGGGGCTCCACGCAAGATCTCACCCCGTGGGGTCAAAATTATCACAAGAACGGTGAGCAAAAATCCCAGAACCACACGGGGGGACCTAGTGAATGACCTGCAGAGAGCTGGGACCAAAGTAACAAAGCCTACCATCAGTAACACACTACGCCGCCAGGGACTCAAATCCTGCAGTGCCAGACGTGTCCCCCTGCTTAAGCCAGTACATGTCCAGGCCCGTCTGAAGTTTGCTAGAGTGCATTTGGATGATCCAGAAGAGGATTGGGAGAATGTCATATGGTCAGATGAAACCAAAATATAACTTTTTGGTAAAAACTCAACTCGTCGTGTTTGGAGGACAAATAATGCTGAGTTGCATCCAAAGAACACCATACCTACCGTGAAGCATGGGGGTGGAAACATCATGCTTTGGGGCTGTTTTTCTGCAAAGGGACCAGGACGACTGATCCGTGTAAAGGAAAGAATGAATGGGGCCATGTATCGTGAGATTTTGAGTGAAAACCTCCTTCCATCAGCAAGGGCATTGAAGATGAAACGTGGCTGGGTCTTTCAGCATGACAATGATCCCAAACACACCGCCCGGGCAACGAAGGTGTGGCTCCATAAGAAGCATTTCAAGGTCCTGGAGTGGCCTAGCCAGTCTCCAGATCTCAACCCCATAGAAAATCTTTGGAGGGAGTTGAAAGTCCGTGTTGCCCAGCGACAGCCCCAAAACATCACTGCTCTAGAGGAGATCTGCATGGAGGAATGGGCCAAAATACCAGCAACAGTGTGTGAAAACCTTGTGAAGACTTACAGAAAACGTTTGACTGTGTCATTGCCAACAAAGGGTATATAACAAAGTATTGAGAAACTTTTGTTATTGACCAAATACTTATTTTCCACCATAATTTGCAAATAAATTCATTAAAAATCCTACAATGTGATTTTCTGGAATTTTTTTTCTCATTTTGTCTGTCATAGTTGACGTGTACCTATGATGAAAATGACAGGCCTCTCTCATCTTTTTAAGTGGGAGAACTTGCACAATTGGTGGCTGACTAAATACTTTTTCCCCCCACTGTATATATTTTTTTCATACTGGCCCCCCGTGGGAATTGAACCCACAACCCTGGCGTTGCAAACACCATGCTCTACCAACTGAGCTACATCCCTGCCGGCCATTCCCTCCCATACCCTGGATGACGCTGGGCCAATTGTGCGCCTCCCCATGGGTCTCCCGGTCCCGGCCGGCTACGACAGAGCCTGGATACGAACCAGGATCTCTAGTGGCACAGCCAGCACTGCGATGCAGTGCCTTAGACCACTGTGCCACTCATAGCACTGTATGCTAACCTCGCCTCTTATTGTAATGGTGAGAGGTTAGGATGTCTTGGGGGTATGATATTTGTGCGGCTGTAACTTTTGGTCCCCTAAAATGGGGGGGACTATGTACAAAAAGTGCTGTAATTTCTAATGGTTCACCTGATACAGATGACAATACCCTCAAATTAAAGCCGATACCCACAGACTTCCAGTCATTTCTCTAACGCTAGTTAGTATTGGCTCTTGAAACTACATTTAACTTCCTTCATACTGGACACAGAGACATAAAAATGGCATCCACTAGTTCATCTGACTAGGGAAGTAGATAAAGGGCCTCATTGCCAAAATCCCAAAGTATCCCTTTAACCTCATTGTATCAGATTTAAATCCAAAGTGCTGGAGTACAGAGCCAAAACAACAAAAAATGTGTCACTGTCCCAATACTTTTGGAGCTCACTGTATGTGTTATATATTAAATTTGATGTTTTATTGATGTCATAAAGTATGTTTTTCTCCTTTGCAGCCAGCGGAACCTGGCTGAAATCACAGAGCTCATCCACACGGCCTTCCTGGTGCACCGTGGGATCGTCAACCTCAAGGAGTGGACCAACTCAGACGGACCCCTGAAGGACATGCAGTTTGGAAACAAGATGGCCGTTCTCAGTGGGGACTTCTTGCTCGCTAACGCCTGCACCGGACTGGCCCAGCTAAACAATACTAAGGTATGAAATAGTCATCATAGAAAGATTTCTTGCCCTGTAGCTTTTTTGTTCTGCTTTCAAATTAGTCTTCCAAAATGCAATCTGAATTCAGCCTTTTACCTGTGTGAGGTCTCAATAGATCTTCAGTGAGATGAAATGATACTTGACAATGTTGAGATCGTTGCAGTATGGCTAACGATATTGATGAGAACACAAACGGAGGAGTTTAAACACCACTTAATCTTCCTAGCTGTTGTGGATTGATTGAATCAACCAATCTTTTCTCTCACTTAGGCCACTGGCAGGCAGACAGATACTCACACACAAATAAAAAAATATGTTTGGGTGGGAATAATGCACCCGCATATACACAGTACGTAGAAGAGGTTGCGTTCTCGTATGACCTTCTACTCATTCTTGCCAAGCACTTCTGCAGATTATGTGTGTTAGTGTGTGTCTGTGCGTGCATGTGTCCGTGTCTGGGTGCGGGCATGGGGGTCACAGATCACTTCCAGTGCATACGCTGGCAACCCTTTGCTGACAGAATCTGTCACCAAGCTCAACTGTCAGAATGTGGCTGCACAAAATAACCTATTTTCTCTTTGCTTTGCAATCTTAACAAATTCTCCCCCCTGCCTCAGCTCAGATGGTTCATGCTCAGACAGAAAAACAGGCATTTAAAATGCCACCTAAAGTCATGGTGATCATGACAAAGGTGATAGTAGAAGTACCCCCCCCCCCCCCCCCCCCCCCCTCCCCTCAAATACATTTGGGCATATTACAGCAAAAACACATCTGGCAACTTTCAGAGGTTGTCAGTGACAGTAAACATAGGCATTATTACATCTTAGTGTTATTCATAATATCTTATTTTTTATAATTAAATGACATTCTAGAGTTCCCCCTGCTGGACAAACATGCATGTCAAAATATGTTTGGGTGGGAATAATGCACCCCTATATACACAGTAAGTAGAAGAGGTTTCATTCTCGTACGGCCTTCTACCCACTCTTCCCCTCAGATGAAATCAATCAAATGTTATTGGTCATGTACACATATTTAGCAGATGTTATTGCAGGTGCATCAAAATGCTTATGTTTATGGCTCCAAAAGTACAGTATACCCAAAAATAAATACATTTTAAAAATATCAGAACGAGCAATGGCATAGCCCGGAATATATTACTATTTTTTACGTTGTAGAATAATAGTGAAGACATCAAAACTATGAAATAACACATGGAATCATGTGGTAACCAAAAAAGTGTTACACAAATTAAAATGTATTTTATATTTGAGATTCTTAAAATAGCCACCCTTTGCCTTGATGACAGCTTTGCACACTCTTGGCATTCACTCAACCAGCTTCACCTGGAATGCTTTTCCAACAGTCTTGATGGAGTTCCCACATATGATTTGTTTAACACTTTTTTGGTTAATACATGACACCATATGTGTTATTTCATAGTTTTGATGTCTTCACTTTTATTCTACATATGTAGAAATTAGTAAACATAAAGAAAAACCCTTGAATGAGTTTGGAATATATTCATTAGGCCTTAATCTATGGATTTCACATGACTGGGAATACAGATATGCATCTGTTGGTCAGACACCTTAAAAAAAGGTTGGGGCGAAAAAGAGAAATGCTCACTAACAGGGATGTAAACAAATTTGTGCACTAAATTTGAGAGAAATAAGCTTTTTCTGCATATGGAACATTTCTGGGATCTTTTATTTCAGCTCATGAAACATGGGACCAACACTTTACATGTTGCGTTTATATTTTTGTTCAGTATACATATACATTGAGTATATACGTTTTTGAACACCTGCTCTTTACATGACTGACCAGGTGAATCCAGGTGAAAGCAATGATCCATTATTGATGTCACTTCTAAATCCACTTCAATCAGTGTAGATTAAGGGGAGGAGACAGGTTAAAGAAGGATTTTTAAGCCTTGAGAAGATTGAGACATGGATTGTGTATTTGTGCCATTCAGATTTTGAATGGGCAAGACAAAAGATTTAAGTGCCTTTTAACGGGGTATGGTAGTAGGTGCCAGGCGCACCGGTTTGTGTCAAGAATTGCAACGCTGCTCGGATTTTCACGCTCAACAATTTCTTGTGTATCAAGAATGGTCCACCACCCAAAGAACATCCATCCAACTTGACACAACTGTGGGAAGCATTGGAGTCAACATGGGCCAGCATCCCTGTGGAACGTTTTCGACACCTTGTAGAGTCCATGCCTCGATGAATTGAGGCTGTTCTGAGGGCAACTCAATTTTAGGAAGGTGTTCCTAATGTTTGGTATACTCAGTGTATATACAGTGGCTTGCGAAAGTATTCGCCCCCCTTGGCATTTTTCCTATTTTGTTGCCTTACAACCTGGAATTAAAATAGATTTTTTGGGGGTTTGTATCATTCGATTTACACAACATGCCTACCACTTTGAAGATGCAAAATATATTTTTTTGTGAAACAAACAAGAAATAAGACAAATAAACAGAACTTGAGCGTGCATACAGTGAGGGGAAAAAAGTATTTGATCCCCTGCTGATTTTGTACGTTGGCCCACTGACAAAGACATGATCAGTCTATAATTTTAATGGTAGGTTTATTTGAACAGTGAGAGACAGAATAACAACAACAAAAAATCAGCATTTTAATGAGGGAAATAAGTATTTAGTACTTGGTGGCAAAACCCTTGTTGGCAATCACAGAGGTCAGACGTTTCTTGTAGTTGGCCACCAGGTTTGCACACATCTCAGGAGGGATTTTGTCCCACTCCTCTTTGCAGATCTTCTCCAAGTCATTAAGGTTTCGAGCCTGACGTTTGGCAACTCAAACCTTCTGCTCCCTCCACAGATTTTCTATGGGATTAAGGTCTGGAGACTGGCTAGGCCACTCCAGGACCTTAATGTGCTTCATCTTGAGCCACTCCTTTGTTGCCTTGGCCGTGTGTTTTGGGTCATTGTCATGCTGGAATACCCATCCACGACCCATTTTCAATGCCCTGATTGAGGGAAGGAGGTTCTCACCCAAGATTTGACGGTACATGGCCCTGTCCATCGTCCCTTTGATAAGATGAAATTGTCCTGTCCCCTTAGCAGAAAAACACCCCCAAAGCATAATGTTTCCACCTCCATGTTTGACGGTGGGGATGGTGTTCTTGGGGTCATAGGCAGCATTCCTCCTCCTCCAAACACGGCGAGTTGAGTTGATGCCAAACAGCTTGATTTTGGTCTCATCTGACCACAACACTTTCACCCAGTTCTCCTCTGAATCATTTAGATGTTCATTGGCAAACTTCAGACGGGCCTGTATATGTGCTTTCTTGAGCAGGGGGACCTTGCGGGCGCTGCAGGATTTCAGTCCTTCACGGCGTAGTGTGTTACCAATTGTTTTCTTGGTGACTATGGTCCCAGCTGCCTTGAGATCATTGACAAGATCCTCCCGTGTAGTTCTGGGCTGATTCCTCACCGTTCTCATGATCATTGCAACTCCACGAGGTGAGATCTTGCATGGAGCCCCAGGCCGAGGGAGATTGACAGTTATTTTGTGTTTCTTCCATTTGCGAATAATCGCACCAACTGTTGTCACCTTCTCACCAAGCTGCTTGGCGATGGTCTTTAACCCATTCCAGCCTTGTGTAGGTCTACAATCTTGTCCCTGACATCCTTGGAGAGCTCTTTGGTCTTGGCCATGGTGGAGAGTTTGGAATCTGATTGATTGATTGCTTCTGTGGACAGGTGTCTTTTATACAGGTAACAAGCTGAGATTAGGAGCACTCCCTTTAAGAGTGTGCTCCTAATCTCAGCTCATTACGTGTATAAAAGACACCTGGGAGCCAGAAATCTTTCTGATTGAGAGGGGGTCAAATAATTATTTCCCTTATTAAAATGGAAATCAATTTATAACATTTTTGACATGTGTTTTTCTGGATTTTTTTGTTGTTATTCTGTCTCTCACTGTTCAAATAAACCTACCATTAAAATTATAGACTGATCATTTCTTTGGCAGTGGGCAAACGTACAAAATCAGCAGGGGATCAAATACTTTTTTCCCTCACTGTAACTATTCACCCCCCCCAAAGTCAATACTTTGTAGAGCCACCTTTTGCAGCAATTACAGCTGCAAGTCTCTTGGGGTATGTCTCTATAAACTTGGCACATCTAGCCACTGGGATTTTTGCCCATTCTTCAAGGCAACACTGCTCCAGCTCCTTCAAGTTGGATGGGTTCCGCTGGTGTACAGCAATCTTTAAGTCATACCACAGATTCTCAATTGGATTGAGGTCTGGGCTTTGACTAGGCCATTCCAAGACATTTAAATGTTCCCCTTAAACCACTCAAGTGTTGCTTTAGCAGTATGCTTAGGGTCATTGTCCTGCTGGAAGGTGAACCTCCTTCCCAGTCTCAAATCTCTGGAAGACTGAAACCGGTTTCCCTCAAGAATTTCCTTGTATTTAGCGCCATCCATTATTCCTTCAATTCTGACCAGTTTCCCAGTCCCTGCCGATGTGAAACATCCCCACAGCATGATGCTGCCACCACGCTTCACTGTGGGGATGGTGTTCTCGGGGTGATGAGAGGTGTTGGGTTTGCGCCAGACATAACGTTTTCCTTGATGGTCAAAAAGCTCAATTTTTGTCTCATCTGACCAGAGTACCTTCTTCCATATGTTTGGGGAGTCTCCCACATGCCTTTTGGCGAACACCAAACATGTTTGCTTATTTTTTTCTTTAAGCAATGGCTTTTTTTCTGGCCACCCTTCCGTAAAGCCCAGCTCTGTGGAGTGTACGGCTAAAAGTGGTCCTATGGACAGATACTCCAATCTCCGCTGTGGAGCTTTGCAGCTACTTCAGGGTTATCTTTGGTCTCTTTGTTGCGTCTCTGATTAATGCCCTCCTTGCCTGGTCTGTGAGTTTTGGTGGGCGGCCCTCTCTTGGCAGGTTTGTTGTGGTGCCATATTCTTTCCATTTAAAAAAAATGGATTTAATGGTGCTCCGTGGGATGTTCAAAGTTTCTGATATTGTTTTATAACCCAAGCCTGATCTGTACTTCTCCACAACTTTGTCCCTGACCTGTTTGGAGGGCTCCTTGGTCTTCATGGTGCCGGTTGCTTGTTGGTGCCCCTTGCTTAGTGGTGTTGCAGACTCTGGGGCCTTTCAGAACTGATGTGTATATATACAGTGGGGAAAAAAAGTATTTAGTCAGCCACCAATTGTGCAAGTTCTCCCACTTAAAAAGATGAGAGAGGCCTGTCATTTTCATCATAGGTACACGTCAACTATGACAGACAAAATGAGAGAAAAAAAATCCAGAAAATCACATTGTAGGATTTTTAATGAATTTATTTGCAAATTATGGTGGAAAATAAGTATTTGGTCAATAACAAAAGTTTCTCAATACTTTGTTATATACCCTTTGTTGGCAATGACACAGGTCAAATGTTTTCTGTAAGTCTTCACAAGGTTTTCACACACTGTTGCTGGTATTTTGGCCCATTCCTCCATGCAGATCTCCTCTAGAGCAGTGATTGTTTTGGGGCTGTCGCTGGACAACACGGACTTTCAACTCCCTCCAAAGATTTTCTATGGGGTTGAGATCTGGAGACTAGCTAGGCCCTTCCAGGACCTTGAAATGCTTCTTACGAAGCCACTCCTTCGTTGCCCGGGCGGTGTGTTTGGGATCATTGTCATGCTGAAAGACCCAGCCACGTTTCATCTTCAATGCCCTTGCTGATGGAAGGAGGTTTTCACTCAAAATCTCACGATACATGGCCCCATTAATTCTTTCCTTTACACGGATCAGTCGTCCTGGTCCCTTTGCAGAAAAACAGCCCCAAAGCATGATGTTTCCACCCCCATGCTTCACAGTAGGTATAGTGTTCTTTGGATGCAACTCAGCATTCTTTGTCCTCCAAACACGACGAGTTGAATTTTTACCAAAAAGTTATATTTTGGTTTCATCTGACCATATGACATTCTCCCAATCCTCTTCTGGATCATCCAAATGCATTCTAGCAAACTTCAGACGGGCCTGGACATGTACTGGCTTAAGCAGGGGGACACGTCTGGCACTGCAGGATTTGAGTCCCTGGCGGCGTAGTGTGTTACTGATGGTAGGCTTTGTTACTTTGGTCCCAGCTCTCTGCAGGTCATTCACTAGGTCCCCCCGTGTGGTTCTGGGATTTTTGCTCACCGTTCTTGTGATCATTTTGACCCCACGGGGTGAGATCTTGCGTGGAGCCCCAGATCGAGGGAGATTATCAGTGGTCTTGTATTTCTTCCATTTCCTAATAATTGCTCCCACAGTTGATTTCTTCAAACCAAGCTGCTTACCTATTGCAGATTCAGTCTTCCCAGCCTGGTGCAGGTCTACAATTTTGTTTCTGGTGTCCTTTGACAGCTCTTTGGTCTTGGCCATAGTGGAGTTTGGAGTGTGACTGTTTGAGGTTGTGGACAGGTGTCTTGACTGATAACAAGTTCAAACAGGTGCCATTAATACAGGTAACGAGTGGAGGGACAGAGGAGCCTCTTAAAGAAGAAGTTACAGGTCTGTGAGAGCCAGAAATCTTGCTTGTTTGTAGGTGACCAAATACTTATTTTCCACCATAATTTGCAAATAACTTCATAAAAAATCCTACAATGTGATTTTCTAGATTTTTTTTTCTCAATTTGTCTGTCATAGTTGACGTGTACCTATGATGAAAATTACAGGCCTCTCATCTTTTTAAGTGGGAGAACTTGCACAATTGGTGGCTGACTAAATACTTTTTTTCCCCACTGTATACTGAGATCATGTGCCAGATCATGTGACACTTAGATTGCACACAGGTGAACTTTATTTAACTAATTATGTGACTTCTGAAGGTAATTGTTTGCACCAGATCTTATTTAGGGGCTTCATAGCAAAGGGGTGAGTACATATGCACTCTCAACTTTTCCGTTATTTTTTTTATTTTTGTTTGAAACAAGTAATTTTTTTCATTTCGTGTATGTCCATTACATGAAATCCAAATAAAAATCCATTTAAATTACAGGTTGTAATGCAACAAAATAGGAAAAACGCCAAGGGGGATGAATACTTTTGCAAGGCACTGTACAGTATGTATATGATGGTGTGTATATATACATTATGGACAGTATATGAATAGGAAAGGTGAGTACAGCAGTAGTTATATAGGATAAGCCTTGACTAGAATACAGTATATACATATGTTGTGGGTAAAACAGTATGTAAACATGATTAAAGTGACCAGTGTTCAATGACTATGTAACAGGGACTAAGTTCAGGGCAAGGTACTGGGCGGAGGCCAGCTAGTGGTGACTATTTAACAGTCTGATGGCCTGGAGATAGAAGCTGTTTCTCTCGGTCCCAGCTTTGATGCACCTGTACCGTCTCTGCAGTCTAGATGGTAGCAGGGTGAACAGGCTGTGGCTCGGGTGGCTGAGGTCCTTGATCTTCTTGGCCTTCCTGTGACACCGGGTGCTGTAGATGTCCTGGAGGGCAGGCAGTGTGCCCCCGGTGATGCGTTGGGCTGACTGCACCACCCTCTGGAGAGCCCTGCGGTTGCAGACCAGGCGGTGATACAGCCTGACAGGATGCCCTCAATGGTGCATCTGTAGAAGTTTGTGAGGGACTTTAGAGGCCAAGCTGATTTTCTACAGCCTCCCAAAGGTTGAAGAGACGCTGTAGTGCCTTCTCCACCACACTGTCTGTGTGGATGGACCATTTCAGATTGTCAGTGATGTGCACGCCGAGGAACTTGAAGCTTTTCACCCTCTCCACTGCGGCCCTGTCGATGTGGATGAGGGGGGGGTGGTCGCTCTGCTGTCTCCTGAAGTCCACGAACAGCTCCTTCATTTTGTTGGAGAGGTTATTTTCCCTAAACTACTCCGCCAGGGCCCTGCAGGCTGTGTCGTCAAGGTTGGTAATTAGGCCTACCACTGTTGTCGTCAGCAAACTTGATGATTGAGTTGGAGACGTGCGTGGCCACGCATCCATGGGTTAAAAGGGAGTACAGGAGGTGAAAGTTTCACAAGCATTGTAAAGCATAGCCTAGTTGAAATGTCAAAATGTAGTACTCACAAATGTGTCTAAACTATGTTTGTGACACTGCCTCCTAAACAAAAGGACAATGACAAATAGAGAACCCGATTCAATCCTTGATGGAAAATATATACAGTACCAGTCAAAAGTTTGGACACACCTACTCATTCAAGGGTTTTTCTTTATTTTTACTATTTTTTACATTGTAGAATAATAGTGAAGACATCAAAACTATGAAATAACACATATGGAATTATGTAGTCCCCAAAAAAGTGTTAAACAAATCAAAATATATTTAATATTTGAGATTCTTCAAATAGCCACCCTTTGCCTTGATGACAGCTTTGCACACTCTTGGCATTCTCTCAACCAGCTTCACCTGGAATGCTTTTCAACAGTCTTGAAGGAGTTCCCACATATGCTGAGCACTTGTTGGCTGCTTTTCCTTCACTCTGCTTTCCGACTCATCCCAAACCATCTCAATTGGGTTGAGTTCGGGGGATTGTGGAGGCCAGGTCATCTGATACAGCACTCCATCACTCTCCTTCTTGGTAAAATAGCCCTTATACAGCCTGGAGGTGTGTTGGGTCATTGTCCTGTTGAAAAACAAATGATAGTCCCACTAAGCCCAAACCAGATGGGATGGCGTATCGCTGCAGAATACTGTTGTAGCCATGCTGGTTAAGAGTGCCTTGAATTCTAAATAAATCCCAGACAGTGTCACCAGCAAAGCACCCCCACACCATAATGCCTCCTCCTCCATGCTTTACTGTGGGAACTACACACAGCGGTTTGAACCAAAAATCTCAAATTTGGACTCCAGCCCAAAGGACACATTTCTACTGGTCTAATGTCCATTGCTCGTGTTTCTTGGCCCAAGCAGGTCTCTTCTTATTATTGGTGTCCTTTAGTAGTGGTTTATTTGCAGCAATTCAACCATGAAGGCCTGATTCACACAGTGCCCTCTGAACAGTTGATGTTGAGTTGATGTCTGTTACTTGAACTCTGTGAAGCATTTATTTGGGCTGCAATTTCTGAGGCTGGTAACTCTAATAAACTTATCCTCTGCAGCAGAGGTAACTCAGGGTCTTCCATTCCTGTGGCGGTCCTCATGAGAGACAGTTTCATCATAGTGCGTGATGGTTTTTGAGACTGCACTTGAAGAAACGTTGAAAGTTCTTGAAATGTTCCGTATTGACTGACATTCATGTCTTAAAGTAATGATGGACTGTCGTTTCTCTTTGCTTATTTGAGCTGTTCTTGCCATAAAATGGACTTGGTCTTTTACCAAATAGGGTTATCTTCTGTATACTTCTGTCCCCCCCCCCCCTCCCCCTCCCCCTCCCCCTCCCCCTCCCGTCACAACACAACTGATTGGCTCAAACGTGTTATTTCATAGTTTTGATGTCTTCACTATTATTCTACAATGTAGAAAATAGTAAAAATAAAGAAAAACCCTTGAATGAGTAGGTGTGTCCAAACTTTTGACTTGTAGTGTATATCAAGATTTTTTTGTTATTGTGTTTGTGTGTCACACCAAGACAGACATGACTGTAGTAGCAGTCGTAGCATTAGCGCTTGGAGGTTTCACAAAAACCAGGGCATTTCTTTAGGGGAGCAATTCATCAGGATTATGTGTCCCGGTCTTGAGAGGAATCCTAGGCCGGTACTTGTATAAATGGTAAAGTGATCTCAGAGCCCAGCTCCGGTTTCTCTCCCTCACAGACCTGTCGGCAAAACACGATCCGCCTGGATTTGGGAATAGAGTAAGGGGGAGGCGGGGGCTTATCTGAAACTTTCCAAATAAAGACCCCCCCTCTTCATTTTCCTCATTCCCAGCCTAGCAAAGACCGCACATCTGGTAGCACTATAGGTGCATTGTCCTTTTGGGCCTTTCGTGAGACTTGAGTTCCTTTAATATTTCCTAAAGGATCTGGTTACCCAGAGGGCACTACTAACACTCTGATAGAGACACAGTGCCACCATACTTGCAAATTATGAAAAAAAACGTATTGAATGTATTGAGGGAGTACAACGTATGTATTCTCTTTTTCTTGTCATCTACGTGTGAGCGAGGGTGCTATTTCAAATGTAGTCATGGATGCCCCCTGCAAGAGGGATTTGGCAACTGCAGACAGATGACACAAAGGTTTACATTTACGTCATTACAAATTGGTGCATTCAACTTATGATAGCCAGTGGGACAACCACATTTTTTTTATGGGGGGGGGGGGGGGGGTAGAAGGATTACTTTATACTATTCCAGGTATTCCTTAAAGAGGTAGGGTTTCAAGTGTCTCCGGAAGGTGGTCAGTGACTCCGCTGTCCTGGCGTCGTGGGGGAGCTTGTTCCACCATTGGGGTGCCAGAGCAGCGAATAGCTTTGACTGGGCTGAGCGGGATCTGTGCTTCCGCAGAGGTAGGGGGGCTAGCAGGCCAGAGGTGGATGAACGTAGTGCCCTGAAGGTAAGGAGGTGCCGTTCCCCTCACAGCTCCGTAGGCAAGCACCTTGGTGTTGTAGTAGATGCGAGCCTCAACTGGAAGCCAGTGGAGTGTGCGGAGGAGCGGGGTGACGTGAGAGAACTTGGGAAGGTTGAACACCAGACGGGCTGCAGCGTTCTGGATAAGTTGTAGGGGTTTAATGGCACAGGCAGGGAACCCAGCCAACAGCGAGTTGCAGTAATCCAGACGGGAGATGACAAGTGCCTGGATTAGGACCTGTGCCGCTTTCTGTGTAAGGTAGGGTCGTACTCTGCGAATGTTGTAGAGCATGAACCTGCAGGTTCGGGTCACCGCTTTGATGTTAGCGGAGAACGACAGGGTGTTGTCCAGGGTCACGCCAAGGTTCTTTGCACTCTGGGAGGAGGACACAATGGAGTTGTCAACCGTGATGGCGAGATCATGGAGCGGGCAGTCCTTCTCCGGGAGGAAGAGCAGCTCCGTCTTGCCGAGGTTCAGCTTGAGGTGGTGATCCGACATCCACACTGACAAAGCTGTTCAGCCTCCCAAAATCATTGACTTGGCATCCCAAAGGTCACAATTTTACCTGGGGCAAGTTGAATCCTAAGTAAGAAAACAAATTAAGTAAGAAGAACCTTTCCTTTTTGAACATTTATTCCACTACATGCCCACACACCTGGACCTAGTAGACTTGTGAGAATTCCTCGAAGACGAGGGAGGGTGCTAGTGAAGAACATCTTGATCATGATGAATGTACAATACCACCCAGCGACACACTGTTGAACAGAGTGAAGTTATATCTAAAACAAGAAGAAGAAGTTATCAATACTGAGTTGGGTTCTTAATGACAAAGAACCACAGCACCAGATGTCAGACCACTGCTCAAGAGCCTCATCAACCCCCACGACATTTCCTGATTTCTGCTTTGCCATCTGCCTTTCAGCTCCTCAGACTTGACACGTGATAAAGCCTCATAATAATACAGTTTAAACTGGAGGTCGCTATAAATAAGATTCAAATTGACAAAGCTCAGTCCGGGTGTGCTTAATGAAAACAGCAGGCAGTCCTCAGCCAGTCCACACTGGTCCGATAATGAGCTGGCAATGTGAGGAATTAGAGATGGTCAATTTACAGCCCAGACACCCACTAAGTCTCCACCCTTATGTTTACAGCCACCGCCTTAGTCTAGGCCCCATCCTCTATACCAAGGATCATCAACTAGATTCAGCTGCGGGACAATTTTTTTCTTGAGTGGATGTTCAGGGGGCCGGAACATAATTACAAATAATTGTAGACTGCAAATTTTCTGCAAGAAGCCCAAACATAAATAATATTTGGGTAACACTTTACTTGACACCCAGCATCATAACACGGCCATAACCATGTAATAATATGTCATACGAGCTGACATAACTTGTCATAACCTACCATAATATGGTCATAACACTGTCATGACCCATATATTTACACTTGTTGTGACATATATTGCGTTATTTTATGGCGGGTTATGACACGTACATAAGAGTGTCAAAACCCATATTTATTCAAATGTGTTTTTTCCCTGCCAAGAACTTTCTTTTCGTTTGAACGTTTTTTTCTTAAGTCCTTTGTTGTAATTAATTATTTACAGTCATGTTTTTTTCATCATATTAATAACTTGCAGAAAATACACTTTGACACTCATGAAGCATTATGACCGTCATAATCATATAAGCCAGATAGGCCTATCACGTACATGTCCTTATGTCAATCATCAGTCAAAAAGAGGGTGTCTTGTCCTGCTCCTGCATTTATCCCAGTCATCAGCAACAGAGCATTGGGGTATGTCTGACATCAATTTGTGCGCAATTACAATGATAATTTAAAATGGTCAATTTCATAAAATGTTGTATAACATAAACATACTGTTGACAAGTAGGCTATGGTGTAATGGTATGTTTTGGCTTGTGTGGTAGATTTTGTGGGTTTTGACACTCTTATGTAGTTGTCATAACCAGCCATAAAATAATGCAATATATGTCACAATAGGTCTAAATGAATCGAATCAAATTTTATTTGCCACATGCGCCGAATACAACAGGTGTAGACATTACCGTGAAATGCTTACTTACAGCCCTTAAACAACAATGCATTAATTTTTTTATAAAAAAGTAAAATAAAACAACAAAAAAGTGTTGAGAAAAAAAGAGCAGAAGTTAAATAAAATAACAGTAAAGAGGCTATATACAGGGGGGTACCGGTGCAGAGTCAATGTGCGGGGGCACCGGCTAGTTGAGGTAATATGTACAGTTGAAGTCGGAAGTTCACATACACCTTAGCCAAATACATTTAAACTCAGTTTTCACAATTCCTGACATTTAATCCTAGTAAACATTCCCTGTCTTAGGTCAGTTAGGATCACCACTTTATTTTAAGAATGTGAAATGTCAGAATAATAGTAGAGAGAATGATAAATTTAAGCTTTTATTACTTTCATCACATTCTCAGTGGGTCAGAAGTTTACATACACTCAATTAGTATTTGGTAGCATTGCCTTTAAATTGTTTAACTTGGGTCAAACGTTTCAGGTAGCCTTCCACAAGCTTCCCACAATAAGTTGGGTGAATTTTGTCCCATTGCTCCTGACAAAGCTGGTGTAACTGAGTCTGGTTTGTAGGCCTCCTTGCTCGCACACGCTTTTTCAGTTCTGCCCACACATTTTCTATAGGATTGAGGTCAGGGCTTTGTGATGGCCACTCCAATACCTTGACTTTGTTGTCCTTAAGCCATTTTGCCACAACTTTGGAAGTATGCTTTGGGTCATTGTCCATTTGGAAGACCCATTTGCGACCAAGCTTTAACTTCCTGACTGATGTCTTGAGATGTTGCTTCAATATATCCACATAATTTTCCTTCCTCATGATGCCATCTAATTTGTGAAGTGCACCAGTTTCTCATGCAGCAAAGCACCCCCACAGCATGATGCTGCCATCCCTGTGCTTCACGGTTGGGATGGTGTTCTTCGGCTTGCAAGCGTTCCCCTTTTTCCTCCAAACATAACGATCGTCATTTTTGTTAGTTCTATTTTTGTTTCATCAGACCAGAGGACATTTCTCCAAAAAGTACGATCTTTGTCCCCATGTGCAGTTGCAAACCGTAGTCTGGCTTTTATGGCGGTTTTGGAGCAGTGCCTTCTTCCTTGCTGAGCGGCCTTTCAGGTTATATCGATATAGGACTTGTTTTACTGTGGATATAGATACTTTTGTACCGGTTTCCTCCAGCATCTTCACAAGGTCCTTTGCTGTTGTTCTGGGATTGATTTGCACTTTTCGCACCAAAGTACGTTCATCTCTAGGAGACAGAATGCGTCTCCTTCCTGAGCAGTATGACGGCTGCGTGGTCCCATGGTGTTTATACTTGCGTACTATTGTTTGTACAGATGAACGTGGTACCTTCAGGCGTTTGGAAATTGCTCCCAAGGATGAACCAGACTTGTGGAGGCCTACAATTTTCTTTCTGAGGTCTTGGCTGATTTCTTTTGATTTTGCAAAGATGTCAAGCAAAGAGGCACTGTGTTTGAAGGTAGGCCTTGAAATACATCTGCAGGTACACCTCCAATTGACATGACATCATTTTCTGGAATTTTCCAAGCTGCTTAAAGGCACAGTCAACTTAGTGTATGCAAACTTCTGACCCACTGGAATTGTGATACAGTGAATTATAAGTGAAATAATCTGTCTGTAAACAATTGTTGGAAAAAGTACTTGTGTCATGCACAAAGTAGATGCCCTAACCGACTTGCCAGAGAATGTGTGGAGTGGTTGAAAAATGAGTTTTAATGACTCCAACCTAAGTGTATGTAAACTTCTGACTTCAACTGTACATGTGGGTAGAGTTAAAGTGACTATGCATAAATAATTAACAGAGTAGCAGCAGCGTAAAAAGATGGGGTGGTGGTGGGGGGGCAGTGCAAATAGTCCGGGTATGATTAGCTGTTCAGGAGTCTTATGGCTTGGGGGTAGAAGCTGTTGAGAAGCCTTTTGGACCTAGACTTGGCGCTCTGGTACCGCTTGTCGTGCGGTAGCAGAGAGAACAGTCTATGACTAGGGTGGCTGGAGTCTTTGACAATTTTGAGGGCCTTCCTCTGACACCGCCTGGTATAGAGGTCCTGGATGGCAGAAAGCTTGGCCCCAGTGATGTACTGGGTCGAACGCACTACCCTCTGTAGTGCCTTGCGGTCGGAGGCCGAGCAGTTGCCATACCAGGCGGTGATGCAACCAGTCAGGATGCTCTCGATGATGCAGCTGTAGAACCTTTTGAGGATCTGAGGACCCATGCAAATCTTTTCAGTCTCCTGAGGGGGAATAGGCTTTGTCATGCCCTCTTCACGACTGTCTTGGTGTGTTTGGACCATGATAGTTCGTTGGTGATGTGGACACCAAGGAACTTGAAGCTCTCAACCTGTTCCACTACAGCCCCCGTCGATGAGAAATATATGTCATGACAGTGTTCTGACCATATTATGACAAGTTATGTCAGCTGTTATGACATTGTTATGACCGTGTCATGATGCTGGGTGTCAAGTAAAGTGTTACCCAATGACTAAAACATAATAGTTTCAAACCTTGCTTACATTTGTATACTATCACATATCTTTCTATTATGCGTGGGAATACTTTGGGGAACAGATTTCCAACATTAAAATCACTTGGAGCTGGAGTTATTTGCTCAGAAAACATGGGGGGCCAAATACAATCCAGTTGGAACCCTGCCCTATACCATCACCATCTCTCTTTAGAGCAATTTCAATACTACATAAAGTGCTTTCATGGTGGTTAACCAAAGCTTTTTTCTTTTGTGTTTGACAGGTTGTGGAGTTGATCTCGAGTGCCATTGGTGACTTGGTGCAGGGAATCTACCATGAGATGCCCAACAGTTTGGAGGTAAGACAATTTCCATACCACTACCAGGGACACCCTCGCCAGCTACAGTATAGCTAGTTACAAGTAGCTAGTTAGCTGTAAACTCACCTAAACAAACTGCACTATCAATTTAGGAGTCTACTATCTCACAATGTTCAACCTGCAGATCGTTGTGCCTCACAGAGTGGAGTCTTAACATTTGCAACTGCAGATATATTTTTGAGGAGATGGGAAACGTTGCCCATGCTACGTCAATAGGCCGCGCGGTGCATTCTGTGCGATTCTGGGACAAGGAGTGCTCTCCTTCAAGGAGTGAATGGCACTAGCTCAAAAACCCAACATTAGCACACATTTTGTCTACAAGAAGCACAACATTACAAATGTTTTCCGAGATGTGAGATAATTAACTTGCTATCTGTAATATCGTATAGCTTTGTAATCGTGACATTACATACTTTAGAGGAAAATAGGCCCGTTTCTCGAACTATACACTGACTTTGAGACAATTAGCTTAGCAACCGTGTGACGTAGCATGGCAACGTGAACGCAATTGGTCGACAGTCTGTTGGGTGGGGCATTATACGTTCCTTCATTCATTGGATTCCTATCTCCTTTCTATAATATCTCTGGCAACGCACCCTGGACTAAAGAGGCAGACAAATAGGAAAAATGTGCTAGACCCTCTGTTAAATTATACATTTCTCAAGGTAGGAATATAGCAAAAATATGATCGATAGCTCATTCGAGAGAAGACATCCTCCTGAGTTATGACATCGGACTGTATTGAAATCTGACATGTATGATAAACGTTTTTGCAATCTAGAAGTCGTATTCCTATTAACTTCCAGTGTAGTGAGAGTGACTTTATCACAGTGTTACTTCATACTGGCCGGATTTCTGCCTGCTTGAACGCCAATAACTCAGATTTACATGAAAACATGAAATTACCCAGGGAATCGATAGAACATCACTCAGAGATGCACAAAAACAATATAACATTCAAAATGGGTGAACCTTTCCTTTTAAGTATCTGTCTTATGCAATCATACCAAACAAAGCAAATCATACTAATTTGAGTGGCTCCTATTTACATTTACTATGTTACGTCTAGTCTGTGAGACCAGGCTGCCAGAAAGGTACATTAGCAGGCCACTCATATGATGTATTTTGTCAGGATGTAGCCCAGTGTTAAGATTGGATATAGGAAAATATGGGCTTCTCCTTTCCAACTTCCCGCCCGTTTTTAATGCTGTAGGCTATTTTACATTCAGCAAGCAAGAGCAATCATGGATCTCTCGTCCAATAGGCTATTAGTAGATTAAAGAAAATAAGTCAAAGTAAGTGTCCAACAAGCTTTTGAGACTATTCTGGCTTTTCCTGGGACTCCACAAGATGATTTAAGAAGAAAAGCTGTGACAGAGGCCAGGGGCCTCATTTATAACCGTTGTGTAAATGTAACACTAAATATCGGTGTGCGCACAAAAATATTGAGATTTATAAACTTGCCGCGAGCCATACATACGCCTGTTTCCCATTATAAATCAGACCTGTTGTGAAAGTGTTGCACGCGTGAACGAGCATTATAACTTTTATGGTGACAATTATGCCCTTATTTGCTGTATACAGTGCATTCGGAAAGTATTCAGACCCCTTGACCTTTTCCACATTTTGTTATGTTACAGCCTTATTCTAAAATGGATCAAATTATTGTCTTCCTCATCAATCTACACACAATACCCCATAATGACAAAGTGAAAACAGGTTTTTAGAATTTTTTTGCAAATGTATTAAAAATAAAAAACAGATACATTATTTTCCATGAGTATTCAGACCTTTTGCTATGAGACTCGAAATTGAGCTCAGGTGCATCCTGTTTCCATTGATCATCCTTGATGTTTCTACAACTTGGAGTCCACCTGTGGTAAATTCAATTGATTGGACATGATTTGGAAAGGCACACACCTGTCTATATAAGGTCCCACAGTTGACAGTGCCTGTCAGAGCAAAAACCAATGAAAAAGAAAAGGAGAGCCGCACACTCTAGGAGCTCAGATGCAATAATGTAATATCCTAATAACCAACGTTTCGACAGACAAGCTGTCTTCATCAGGGTATAATAACAAACACTGCGGGTCACTAGTTTATATAGTGTCAAAGGACACACGCAGGTGTCTGTAATCATGGCCGGGTGTGGCCTAATAGCATTGGTTAATTCACAGATCAACAGAACTTACAAAAAACATGTATAGCATACGATCATAGATACAACTTGCCAAATAGGCCCACAAACATTTACAATGAATAGCAAAATCACAATAATCACAAGAATGGCTTCAAATCAAAGTATACGTTGAGACCGAAGGGAGCAAGGGTCTTTAAATTAAAGATCCAGGTAGCCTCTCGTTTTAACAATAAGTTGTCGAGGTCACCCCCTCTCCTAGGCAGGGTGACATGTTCGATGCCGATATAACGTAGGGACGAAATCGAGTGGTTCGCTTCCAAAAAGTGGGCAGCGACTGGGTATGTCGAGTTTTTGCACCTAATGGTGCTACGTTGCTCCGAGATCCGTTACACTTGTAGTTTCCATCCGGTAGAGGCGCAAATAGACGTTGTACAGGGATATTTAGGGGTGGTAAATCCGAGTTTACCAATTGATCTCTGATGTTTCTGCCCCGCGAGAATACAACCAAGGGAGGGTCCGAAAACACATTTCCAATACTGTCATCGGATCTTAGAATGTGCCAATGTTTGTGAACGATTCCCTTAATTTGTTCAGTGCACTTTGAATAGCGTGTAGTTAGAACGCAATAATGCTTATTTTTGCGAGACTGTCCCTGAAAGAGGTCAAGTCTCAATTTGTTTTGAATTTTCTCAATAGCAATGTTAATCTGACCATTTATGTACCCCCTCTCCTTGAATTTTCTTTGCGTCGCAGCCATATTTCAGTCGAAATCTGATTTGGTTTTTAGAAATTATTTTGATTAGACATAATTGGCTGTAGGGCAAACAGTTTTTCAAGGAAAGCGGGTGACAACTATCAGCCCTCAACAAACTGTTACGATCAGTAGGTTTCCTGTAAAGATCAGTGTATAGAACATTATCCTCACACAAAATCAGAAGATTGTGTGTCAGATTGCATAGTAAATCTCAGGTGCTCAGAACAAGAGTTAAGAAAAGCATGGAATGCCTGGAGCTGTTTTTAAATCACCCCTCCATAGAACAAAAATATCATCAATGTACCGTTTCCAAATAATAATGTTAGGCAAGAAAACATTTTTGAGAGGATTGAAAATGGACTGTTTCTCCATGTCACCTACATGCAAATTAGCATAGTTAGAAGCCATAGGGGATCCCATAGCAGTACCCTTCGTCTGAATAAAGAAATCATTTAGAAACATTAAGTAGTTGTGTGTGAGTACTATTTCAGCCAATGTTATAATGCATGCACTGGAAGGTAGTTCATTTGGGTCATGTTGCAGAAGAAAATGTTCCATGGCTTCAATACCGCCCTCGTGTGGAATATTCGTATAGAACGACTCAACATCAAAAGTAACTAGCAAGGTATTATCAGGGAGAGGATCAAGAGATTCAAGAGCAAAATCCAAGCCATGAGGTCGAAGGAATTGTCCGTAGAGCTCTGAGACAGCATTGTGTCGAGGCACAGATCTGGGGAAGGGTACCACAAAATGTCTGCAGCATTGAAGGTCCCCGAAAACACAGTGGCCTCCATCATTCTTAAATGGAAGAAGTTTGGAACCACCAAGACTCTTCCTAGAGCTGGCCGCCTGGCCAAACTGAGCAATCGGGGGAGAAGAGCCTTTGTCAGGGAGGTAACCATGAACCCAATGGTCACTCTGACAGAGGTCCAGAGTTCCACTGTGGAAATGGGAGAACCTTCCACAAGGACAACCATCTCTGCAGCACTCCACCAATCAGGCCTTTATGGTAGAGTGGCCAGACGGAAGCCACTCCTCAGTAAAAGGCACATGACAGCCCGCTTGGAGTTTGCCAAAAGGCACCTAAAGGACTCTCAGACCATGAGAAAAGATTCTCTGGTCTGGTGAAATCAAGATTGCCAAGTGTCACTTCTGGAGGAAACCTGGCACCATCCCTACGGTGAAACATGGTGGGGGCAGCATCATGCTGTGGGGATGTTTTTCAGCGACAGGGACTGGGAGACTAGTCAGGATCGAGAGATCCTTGATGAAAATCTGCTCCAGAGCGCTCCGGACCTCAGACTGGGGCGAAGGTTCACCTTCCAACAGGATAACAACCCTAAGCACACAGCCAAGACAACGCAGGAGTGGCTTTGGGACAAGTCTCTGAATGTCCTTTTAGTGGCCCAGCCAGAGCCCGGACTTGAACCCGATCAAACATCTCTGGAGAGACCTGAAAATAGCTGTGCAGCGACGCTCCCCATCCAACCTGACAGAGCTTGAGAGGATCTGCAGAGAAGAATGAGAGAAACTCCCCAAATACAGGTGTGCGAAGCTTGTAGCGTCATACCCAAGAATACTTGAGGCCGTAATCGCTGCCAAAGGTGCTTCAACAAAGTACTGAGTAAAGGGTCTGAATACTTATGTAAAAATGTCTAAACCGGTTTTTGCTTTGTCATTATGGGGTATTGTGTGTAGATTGATGAGGGAAAAAAATCCATTTTAGAATAAGGCTGGAAAAAGTCAAGGGGTCTGAATACTTTCCGAATGCACTGTACTTTGGAAGTATTGGAATTAGGCCAAGAAATAGGAAATAGCAATGCATGGCAAACTTCATCATATGTTTTTGGAGAGGTTGGCAGAATGTTTTCTTTTGCAGTGACATTTGCTGTATCTGACAGTGTCTGAAAGACAAAAATAAGTACACATTGTTGTGGACCTGTAAACAGATCGTTTGATTTCAATAATGTTTTGCATTTACTTTTTCCCAAAATATGCTAAATATGCTGCACGGCCCGTGAATTCTGAAACATTGTCTACTTTGATTTGTTTTACTACGGTAGGCATACCTACAGTGGTAGCCTACACACTTCAATGCAAAAGATCAACCATCTGTTTACCTGTTAAATTCTACTGTATGTTATAAACCGCGCTCCCTTTCAGATGCAAAAACTTGAAATTATATAATATCCAATAGGCACAATGAGTGATGTGCATAGTAATATGCTGTATGGCTACTTGGGGAATATAAACTCATCATGGCCAGAAAAGGTGAGGAATTTATTCCGCAATGGTTAGTAACATGTATTATGTTAATAAATGAAATACTGTCTACTCGAGAAATGTCACATTACAGTATTCAGACGTAGTAGCCTACAAACGTCAATGGAAAAGGTGCACCGTCTGTTCTACCATTAATAATCCATCTGTGCGTCAATCAAAGTAACATAATAAAAAAAATCCCTATCAAAATCCGTCAGTTTAAGCTAGAGAGATGTTTTTTGCATGGCTGCGTCTGCAGTTGAAGGTGGCTGAGCTACAGCAGTATTTGTCAGACCTGAGACCTCCCGAAAATCGGGTCTACTAAGCTAACATATGGAGTTATTTTAAGATTTTCTCATGGTCTAACAAACAGCGCTGTAGCTCGGCCACCTTCCACCGCGGATGAGGAAGGCGGATGCGGTGGATTGAGACGCAGCCCATGCAAAAATATATCTCTAGCTTAAACTAACAGATTTTTATGGGGATTTTTTATTATGTTACTTAGATTGATGCACAGGTGCGTCAATAAACTCCTAACGATTTTAAACTGCGCTTCGGATCGGATCAAATAGAGCAAACTACTTGAAATAGCTTATCTATTTACTACTGTGAAGTGGGTCCAATTAAATTAAAAGATGGGACAAATGGTAGCCTATCCTAAGTTGTTGTAGGCCTATAGGCTATTTCGCCAATATGAAACCATCACAGTCTATTCTGCAATGTTCATGGAAATGAAATAAATAATAGGAAATAGATGCTTATTTCTAATTATTTTAGAATGCAAAGATAAAATAAATATATTTTCGCTCTTCACACTAACAGGAAATTATTGCATCTTATTATATTAAGCTACTTGTTCTTGTTATGAATAAGACTGTCATCATATATTCCTGCAAAAGGCTACTACTAGGATAAAAATGTACTTCTACACAATGGCAACAGTCAGAATACATAACGTTTGATGTAAACTGCTATTTTCAGGACAATAGCCTGACTGATGACATCAACATGGTCACGTGGGAGGAGCAGAGGTTCTTGTCCCATGGTGCCTTGCTGGCGAAAAGCTGTCAGGCAGCGATGGAGCTCGCCAAACATGACAAAGATGCCCAAGGACTGGCCTACAAATATGGCAAGCATCTATCACTGGGCCACAAGGCAAGTACAGCATGTTATGTCTCGTGGGTTTCGTCTTTATAACAATTAAATAATGATGAGACTGAAGACAGGAATCAGTTCAACCATTATCTAGAACAAGGATGGGAAACTTTAAAGGGTGGTGGGGGCCACCAAAACTCTGAACTCATCATGAGGGGCTGCAGTGACTCGCGGGTCTGTGTACCCACATCAATACACACACACATGCAGTCAGAGCCGGCCCTAGCCTTTAGGGGGCCCTAAGCAACATTTTGTTGGGGGTCCTCCCTCCCCACCTTGCAAGCAAAACATTTTAGTTAATTTCCTGCAATTCTACACATTTTGCCAAAGGGTGGAAATAAATGTTAGCAGTTTTTAATATGATATCTGAGTGAGAGGCTTACGTGTCTTGTCGAGCAAAACTTTTTGTGGACAGTACTATGCTGCGTACAGACCCCCCTGCGCACTCAATGTCGTCGAGATTCATCGAGTTGACTTGTATTTGGTGGGGAAACTGAGCTGTAGCCTACTGCCGGTTTCTGTTTGATTATTTTTATTTTTTTTATTAAACGTTGTCTATTTGCTGCTTTTCAATAAATAATGTAGCTGTTCTTTAGGCTATGGCCTAAAATAAATGTGTTCATATGGGCAGAATATTATATTTTGTAGCATAGGCTACCGAATTTATGAAAATAACCAGTTCACCCTAAAATATTCAGATCTGGTAAAAGGCCGATATTTGGTTGTTTCAATAAATTAAAAAAGACTGTCACATGACAATAGAAATGGAAACATTGTGATTTTAGAGACACAAAGTAACAATAGCTTCTATGATGAAAGGTATCAGAGTCCATCTGTTTCTGGGCTCTCACCATCATCATTATTTACGTCATTCATATTCACCAAATCATTTTGTTTATAAGCCCACTAGGCTACTCATTTGTTGCATTAAATGTTCTGAATAATAAAAAGGAAAATGCTGTTGGGTGTTCACGCAATAGCCTAGGCTATCCTACACAACTACACACAGTAGCCTACTGTACCTCTGGTGTCCAATCCGATGCACAGAAACATATGAAAACATTAACTCATTACCTTGATGCTTTCTCTGTTAAATCTTCTAGACCCTGCTGTAAATCAAGCAAACAATAGCAGATAATCAACATAAATGTAGGGGTATTGGATCCAACATGGATCACAACTGCCTTCACTGGGGCAACAAACGAGACGTCAACATATTCTGGACATTCATCCGAACACAATGTTTCCGCACTGGCTGTTTTTGCATCATGTGCTATATCACAACAGCTGTTTGTCACTTGACTGTCATTCAGAAAAATATTTCCTGGATCAGCTGATGATGGCCTAAATAAACAGCTGGATACCAAATGTGCATCCAACAAGTAGGTCAAGCCAATGCATAGCCAATTGAAGAACCACACAAGTTAGGTGACTCTTTCGGTTAGAAGCATTCGATTTTGCAACCGTATACATCATTTTGGATTTGTGTGCCCATGAAAACAGTTTTCACAGTGTAGCCTAAAATCTCAATATGAACATTTGATAAAGCGGTGCTGCCGTTAATAGTGCACCATCTCATAGGGAGCGGCAGGTAGCTTAGTGGGGCGGCAGGTAGCTTAGTGGTTAAGAGCGTTGTGCCAGTAACCGAAAGGTCACTGGTTCTAATCCCCGAGCCGACTAGGTGAAAAATCTGTCTGTGCCCTTGAGCAAGGCACTTAACCCTAATTGCTCCTGTAAGTCGCTCTGGGTAAGAGCGTCTGCTAAATGACTAAAATGTAAAATGTAATAGACTCAGCAAGACTTTTGTCCCACTGATGCCCCAGATAAGGGGTCGATGGGTTTCTTATTGTATTCATGATTGATTAGAATTAAGCTTTCAGAACATTCACACCTAGCCTAACGGTCAATCAGCTCACGGCCATCTGGACACTTTGCTATGTGTGCAGGTCAGTCATATTTCCGTCTCCTTTTCATATCGGGAAAAAAAAAACTCATCATAGGCCTAGTTTTATTATACTGATAATCAGATTATATACAGCAAATTGAAAGAAAATGAATTATTACAAGGTTGAAAACTTTTCTTTGCAAATGTTTTATTTATTCATTAATGTATTAGTAGGCTTAGGCCTATGGATTACATTTTTTGAAGTTATTCTCACCACCCCCGTTTTATTTATTCTGTCTAAAAGGAAGGCAAAGAATGCAGCACATTTTTATTTATTTTTTTATACAATATTCTGCCCATATGAACAAAGTTATATAAAAACAATTGCCAATTTTAACATTTATTTTGGGGCATAAGCGAACCAATATGAGAGCCTTCAGACAGGTTTAAACAAGTTTCCTCACGGAGCCACCAGCCAGCTGTCAAGCCCCAGCCAATCGCGCACACAAGTTGTTCCCCAGCCTGCGTGTGTGGGCGGACGAAAGAGTTGCCGACAAAGGAGTTTGCTTCTGCTGCAGCCTTCACTGTAAAATATAACTCGTTGCGGCGGTGCTTCACACACTCGGAGTGAGAGTGACTAACAAAATCAATGGGGGCCCCCCGGTCAGTAATTCGACCATGATTACTACAAGTTTAGATAGCTGGCCGCTAGACTAACTTTAACTTGCCAGTCAAAAAAATGTAGTTGACATGGGCTAATTGAGTGACTGTCAGTGACTGACATAACAAGAGACAAACTACTGATCCACAATCAAATTTCGAAATTGCATCTTGTGTATTCTACTATTCTAAGTTGAGACCTCGACTGAGTTGCCCAAAAAACGTTTTTTTAATTGATCCGTGGCCAGTTGCCCATCCCTGATCTAGAACGTACTCGGTCTCAACACATTCAACCCCCATGATGCTCCACGGCACAACCCCAATACACCTCCTCTCCTCCCCTCCCCTCCTACTTAAATTGTCATTATGAACAACAGTCCTGAGAAGTTGACTGTGAGCCCCTAGGTGACGACTGCTGAGTCAGGGTGTCACTCAGTAACAGTTCCTGACTGGTGGTTCTGTTGGTGTTGCTTTACTCAACAGTGACTTTTCCAGATTACGTCCTCTGCAGTCTGGTAAGTGTAGGACACAGGACCAGTCTGAGAAATGACTGTAGCAGGAACCCACTTTGGTCCGTTGAGGTAGTTCCTAGCTAAGACAGTTTCTCCAGGATTCTCAGTTCACAACGTTTGACTTGACTCTCCTGTTGACGTCGCACTCCTTTTGCGTTCTGAGGTTTGAGTAGGTCGAAGCTTGTGCATAGCGCCCTCTTCATGAGTAGCAAAGCAGGCAAAGCCTTGTTGGTTGCATGAGGCTTGTTCCTGTAGGATAGCAGAAAGCTGTTCAAGCGTTGGTGCAGCTTCCCTTGACTGTAAAACACTTTCAATGCATGTTTCATGGTCTGTATGAACCTCTCCGCCAGACCGTTTGTAGATGGATGATACGGGGTGGACCTGATGTGCTGTACACCATTTAGCTGTAGGAACGTAGCCATTTCTTGGGACACTAGCTGCGGTCCATTGTTGCTAATGAGTTTGAGTGGCGATCCGAAACGACTAAACACTTCCCGATGGTGTTCTCTGCAGTAGTAGACCTCATGATGGCAACATCTACTTGCTATGAGCATCCACAACCACGAGAAACATTCTGTCTTCAAATGGACCTGCGAAGTCGACGTGTATGCGTTGCCACGCCTCCTCCGGCCAATCCCACGGATGAAGAGATGCAAGTTGAGGTATGTTGCGAACCTTCTCACATGAGGAATACGTTTTCGCTTTCTCCTCAATGCTTCCATCCAATCCAGGCCATCAGAAGTAGCTTTGTGCCATTTCCTTCGTTAAAAAAACACAATGACCTAAGTGTAGCTGTTGCAACACTGGTTTCTTCAGCGAAGGCGGAATGATAACTCTCCTCCCCCACAGCAGACAACCGGACTGTACTGACGGCTCAGTTCTCCTGGAAAGGTACGGTTTTAGTTCCGGAGCATCTCCTGCGGCTCTACCTTTTGATAATGATATCCTTCACTTCAGATACCACCGGGTCATTTCTGGTGTTTCTCCGCACTTGTGCTGAAGTGACTGGTGCGTTTTCCACTTGTCTAAAGTATAAGATGTCCACTTTGCAGGACTCTGGCTTGACCACAGGTAGTGGTAACCTGAAAAATCCATCTGCGTTCCAGTTCTGCCTTGCAGCTTTTGATGTGCTTTGCAGCAAGTGATGGAATCCCAGTATGCGGTCCAAATATGCTCGTCAGCGGACGATGATCTGTAAGAAGGGTGAACTTCCTCCCGTACAGATACTTGTGAAACTTACGCACTCCAAAAACAATGCCTATCTGTGCATAGTTAGTTTCTGCTTTGTTCAATGTCCTAATGCGAAAACGATAGACTTCACCTGAAGGCATGATATGGGACACGACTGCTCCCACACTATAGGTACTAGCATCACAAGCTAGTTGGATGGGCATTGACGGGTCGAAGTGTGTCAGTGCATCAGATTTCAGAAGTGTTTCCTTGGTTTTCACGATTGCTTCCTCAGAATGTTCTGTCCATTTCCATGTTTTGTCCTGACAAAGCAACTGATGCAGCGGCTTCAGCTTTATTGCTAAGCTCGGAATAAAGCGTCCTTAGTAATTCAATAACCCCAGGAAAGAATGTAGTTGGCTCACGTTCTGAGGAGCCTTGACCTTGGACGGAAGGTCCATGGTGTTGACTATGTGTCCAAGGTATTCAACCGATGATTGGAAAAATGCACATATGCTATATATACAAAAGTATGTGGACACCCCTTCAAATGAGTGGATTCGGCGATTTCAGCCACACCGTTGCTGACAGGTGAATAAAATCGAGCACACAGCCATGCAATCTCCATTGACAAACATTTGCAGTAGAATGGCCTTACTGAAGAGCACAGTGACTTTCAACGTGGCACCGTCATAGGATGCCACCTTTCCAACAAGTCAAATTTCTGCCCTGCTAGAGCTGCCCCGGTCAACTTTAAGTGTTGTTATTGTGAAGTGGAAACGTCTAGGAGCAACAATGGCTCAGCCGCAAATTGGTAGGCCACACAAGCTCACAGAACGTGACCGCCGAGTGCTGAACCGCGTAGCGCTTAAAAACCGTCTTTCTTCAGTTGCAACACTCACTACCGAGTTCCAAACTGCCTCTGGAAGCAACGTCAACACGAGAACTGTTAGTCGGAGCTTCATGAAATGGGTTTTCCATGGCCGTGCAGCCGCACACAAGCCTAAGATCACCATGCGCAATGCCAAGCGTCGGCTGGAGTGGTGTAAAGCTTGCCGCCATTGGACTCCTGAGCAGTGGAAACGCGTTCTCTGGAGTGATGAATCAAGTTTCATCTGGCAGCCTGATGGACTAATCTGGGTTTGGCGGATGGCAGGAGAACGCTACCTGCCCCAATGCATAGTGCCAACTGTAGAGTTTGGTGGAGAAGGATAATAGTCTGGGACTGTTTTTCACGGTTCGGGTTAAGCCCCTTAGTTCCAGTGAAGGAAAATGTTAACGCTATAGCATACAATGACATTCTAGACAATTCTGTGCTTCCACCTTTGTGGCAACAGTTTGGGGAAAGCCCTTTCCTGTTTCAGCATGACAATGCCCCAGTGCACAAAGCGAGGTCCATACAGAAATGGTTTGTAGATATCGGTATGGAAGAACTTGACTGGGCTTCACAGAGCCCTGACCTCAACCCCATCGAACACCTTTGGGATTAATTGGAAAGCCGACTGCGAGCCAGGCCTAATCGCCCAACATCAGTGCCCAACCTCACTAATGTTTTTGTGGCTGAATGGAAGTCTCCACAGCAATGTTCCAACCTCTAGTGGAAAGCCTTGCCAGAAGAGTGGAGGCTGTTTATAGCAGCAAAGGGGGGCCCCAACTACGTATTAATGCCCATGATTTTGGAATGAGATGTTCCACAAGCAGGTGTCCATATACATTTGGTCATGTAGTGTACAGTGGGGAAAAAAAGTATTTAGTCAGCCACCAATTGTGCAAGTTCTCCCACTTAAAAAGATGAGAGAGGCCTGTAATTTTCATCATAGGTACACGTCAACTATGACAGACAAAACGAGATTTTTTTTCTCCAGAAAATCACATTGTAGGATTTTTAATGAATTTATTTGCAAATTATGGTGGAAAATAAGTATTTGGTCAATAACAAAAGTTTCTCAATACTTTGTTATATACCCTTTGTTGGCAATGACACAGGTCAAACGTTTTCTGTAAGTCTTCACAAGGTTTTCACACACTGTTGCTGGTATTTTGGCCCATTCCTCCATGCAGATCTCCTCTAGAGCAGTGATGTTTTGGGGCTGTCGCTGGGCAACACGGACTTTCAACTCCCTCCAAAGATTTTCTATGGGGTTGAGATCTGGAGACTGGCTAGGCCACTCCAGGACCTTGAAATGCTTCTTACGAAGCCACTCCTTCGTTGCCCGGGCGGTGTGTTTGGGATCATTGTCATGCTGAAAGACCCAGCCACGTTTCATCTTCAATGCCCTTGCTGATGGAAGGAGGTTTTCACTCAAAATCTCACGATACATGGCCCCATTCATTCTTTCCTTTACACGGATCAGTCGTCCTGGTCCCTTTGCAGAAAAACAGCCCCAAAGCATGATGTTTCCACCCCCATGCTTCACAGTAGGTATGGTGTTCTTTGGATGCAACTCAGCATTCTTTGTCCTCCAAACACGACGAGTTGACTTTTTACCAAAAAGTTATATTTTGGTTTCATCTGACCATATGACATTCTCCCAATCCTCTTCTGGATCATCCAAATGCACTCTAGCAAACTTCAGACGGGCCTGGACATGTACTGGCTTAAGCAGGGGGACACATCTGGCACTGCAGGATTTGAGTCCCTGGCGGCGTAGTGTGTTACTGATGGTAGGCTTTGTTACTTTGGTCCCAGCTCTCTGCAGGTCATTCACTAGGTCCCCCCGTGTGGTTCTGGGATTTTTGCTCACCGTTCTTTTGATTATTTTGACCCCACGGGGTGAGATCTTGCATGGAGCCCCAGATCGAGGGAGATTATCAGTGTTCTTGTATGTCTTCCATTTCCTAATAATTGCTCCCACAGTTGATTTCTTCAAACCAAGCTGCTTACCTATTGCAGATTCAGTCTTCCCAGCCTGGTGCAGGTCTACAGTTTTGTTTCTGGTGTCCTTTTACAGCTCTTTGGTCTTAGCCATAGTGGAGTTTGGAGTGTGACTGTTTGAGGTTGTGGACAGGTGTCTTTTATACTGATAACAAGTTCAAACAGGTGCCATTAATACAGGTAACGAGTGGAGGACAGAGGAGCCTCTTAAAGAAGAAGTTACAGGTCTGTGAGAGCCAGAAATCTTGCTTGTTTGTAGGTGACCAAATACTTATTTTCCACCATAATTTGCAAATAAATTCATAAAAAATCCTACAATGTGATTTCCTGGAAAAAAAATTCTCATTTTGTCTGTCATAGTTGACGTGTACCTATGATGAAAATTACAGGCCTCTCTCATCTTTTTAAGTGGGAGAACTTGCACAATTGGTGGCTGACTAAATACTTTTTTTCCCCACTGTATGTCCGTACGAACTCATAGTCCGTAATGTAGTGTGTCTTTATGAACTCGGAGTCCTTCAGTCTCTGTAAGGTTGCATCCAAGTTCTGGAGATGGTCCTCTTCGTCTTTCCCAGTAACGAGGTGTCATCCAGGTAGCATTGTACTCCTGGCAAGATCTTATCCATCGTCCTCTAGAACAGCACTGGCGCATTTGTGATTACAAGCGGTAGATGACAGTACCTGAAGAGCCCCGTGTGTGTCACGACAGTCAGAAGCTCCTTTGACTTTTTTTCCATGTGCATCTGCAAGTACGCTTGGCAGAGGTCGATCTTGCTGAACTTTTGACCCCGGCTAATCCTGTGAAAAGGTTGTGTGTGTGGTAGCGGATACTGCTTAGTGAACAACACACAGGGTTAACGGTAACTTTAAAGTCTCCACATATCCTAATTCCACCATATTTGTTAAGGACTGGTACGATGGGTGTTGCCCATTCACTCATGCTGACCGGCTCCAGTACTTTGTTCTTGACTAGAGTGTCCAAGTCAGCCTCGACTTTTGGTCTTATAGCATAAGGTACAGGGCATGCTTTCAGAAACGTCGGTTAGCTTAATGCTAACCTTTACTGTAATGTATTTCATGCTATGCAGCTCTGCATTAAAGACTTCCCCATGTTTCTTTAAGATGACGGGTAGGCATGTGTCTCCATTGTACGCACTGATGGCCAGTTCAGTGTGATTTTCTCTAAACACAAACATCCCAGTAGTGATGGATTGTCTCCTTTCACGACATAGTGGCAGCTTTTCAGTTTACATTTACATTTACATTTACGTCATTTAGCAGACGCTCTTATCCAGAGCGACTTACAAATAGGTGCATTCACCCTATAGCCAGTGGGATAACCACTTTACAATATCTTATTTTTTTATATTTTTTATTTTTATTTATTTTTTAGGGGGGGGGTAGAAGGATTACTTTATCCTATCCCAGGTATTCCTTAAAGAGGTGGGGTTTCAAATGTCTCCGGAAGGTGGTGAATGACTCCGCTGTCCTGTTTGTCAGTTTAACTGAACTGTGACATCAGTGATGCATCTCACAGTGACATATTCACCTGTGTAAGTCTTTAACACGATGTGTGCTGGCTGAAGTGGAAGGTGTTTGTGTCTTTTGTAGACTGTGTCTGACACGAGATACAGCCTTTATCAATCTCCATAAGCACTGGCTGCCCCTCTAACAAGGGAGAGACATAGTAGCTGTGCGGCCCCACAGAAACAGTCACTATATTCAGTGTGACTTCCCTGTCTGATGAGTCACTCACCTCAGTGTTCTCCTGCTCAACAGCGTGAACATGTCTCTTTTCTTTGGTTGGAATGTCTCTCTCTTGTTTTCAGTATTTTGAGTTTTCTCTGAGCTCTTTTTGTTTCTGCAAGCTCGTTCGATGTGGCCCTTTTAACCATAGGCTCGGTAATCCATGTCCTTACACCAGCATGTAGACGCCTGATGTCCCGCTTTGCCACAGCGGAAGCATGTGCCATGATTTCCCTGGCTCTGATTTTCAGTTGCAACTCTCTGCATTTTTCCTGATGAACTCAACTGCTGAGCCTCTTTAGCAGTTAGTTCAATGGATATACACTGACTTCAATGTCCTTTGCCAAGGTCAGATTACTTTCAGTCAATAGTCTCTTGTGTAGCTTCACTCCGTAGCCCACATACTATGTCGCTAATGGTGTCATTTAGAACATCATTAAACTCCGTGCTCTGATAGTTTCATTAATGCAGCAGCAAACATCACTGATTCTTCCTCTTCCTGATTTCTTCTGTGGAACCTAAACTTTTCAGCAATAACTAGTGGTTTTGGTGAAAAGTGTCCTTTCAGTATTTCCACAATATCCCCACGTCTTATTACCTGGCCTGTGTGGCTGTAGCAGACTGCGTAGTCAATTAAATGTCTTTAGCCCCATTAAACAAAAAAAATGTAGGCACAATTTTGTCCTCATCAATGTCATTTGCAATAACTAAATTTTCAAACCATTCTGTATATGAGCTCCACTGCTCAATACTTTCATCAAACTGTCCAATGTTTCCAACAATTCCAGCCATTTTAGATTTCTCAATTGGCTCCTGATTGTCACTCACGTCAATATTGTCCTTAACCAGAGCAATATTTTCCTCAGTCACGTGATCTTCCTCCACTTCACTTATTGACGTTTCATCCTTAATTTCCCCAAAGTTCTTCCTCACGTCCATTCCTTTACTCCCTTTTTAATCACTTTGTTTTCGCGCTCCGACGTCAGTCTCAAATATTTTTCTGCCATCTATGACGATGCTACAGTAACTCTCTCTCTTAGATAGCTCGACTATGCACTTGCTAGCAATACACTGTGCTAACATTAGCCTAGACTGTACCACAGAAAATAACAGTTTACACCTGTAAAAACCGACTTCTTCTAGACAGAATAGTTCCCGACGGTTCAGACTCGTTGCCAATCTTTTGTTATTTCTTGTGGGTTTCATAACCACGTCTTTATAACAATTCAATAATAATGAGACGGGAGACAGGAATCAGTTCAACCATTTATCTAGAATGTGCTCGGTCTCAACACATAAAACCCCCATGATGCTCTGCGGCACAACCCCAATACACCACACTGCAGGAAACCTGAAAGATTGGCTTTGCTGAAAAGTAAAGAATCGTGCTGCTTTCCTTTAGTCTTTCCTGAAATGTGAAAATGTGAGTGAAAACGACATAATAGTACCGCTGATTTAAATAATCAACTCATCATCAAGCTTTGATTATTTTAAATCAGCTGGGTAGTACTAGGGCAAAAAACTAAACGTGCACCAGGACGGAGTTTGGGAAACGCTGTAGTTGGTGAGATGTGACATGTAAGGATCATGATTAGGCTGTTATGATTGACTAATGCTGTCATTTCTCACTCTTTAGTTGAACTCTGACCTGCAGCCATTTGTGAAGAGCAATTCAGCAGACCCAGTCACCTTCAGTTTGAACTCTGCCCCTGTGGTTTTCCACCGGCAGATTGTGGGGCAGGAGAGATGGCATCATCAGCTGCAACAGGTACTGAACCACTTATCCTGTGCCATTACTTTTTCCTGACAGTTTAAGTTGTGTGTATATATAACCACAAGGTAAAGATGTACACCGAGTGTACAAAACATTATGCACACCTTCCTAATATTGAGTTGCACCCCCTTTTGCCCTCAGAACAGCCTCAATTAGTCGGGGCATGGACTCTACAAGGTGTCGAAAGCTTTCCACAGGGATGCTGGCCCATATTGTCTCCAATGCTTCCCACAGTTGTGTCAAGTTGGCTGGATGTCCTTTGGGTGGTGGACCATTCTTGATACACACGGAAAACTGTTGAGCGTGAAAAACCCAGCAGCGTTGCAGTTCTTGACACAAGCCGGTGCGCCTGGCACCTACTACCATACCCCGTTCAAAGGCACCTTCTGAATGGTACACATACACAATCCATGTCGCAATTGTCTCGAGGCTTAAAAAGTATTATTTAACCTGTCCCCTCCCCTTCATCTACACTGATTGAAGTGGATTTAACAAGTGACATCATTAAGGGATCATAGCTTTCACCTGGTCAGTCTGTCATGGAAAGAGCATGTTTTGTACACCAGTGTATACTTACTTTAAATAATGTCTTTCTCTTTTTCTCTCTGTGAACAGGCAAAAACTATTGGAACTATTGACTATACAAAGGTAAACAGGGTGGATGTACATACTGTGGATGTTTATTGTGCTATTGTGGTATGGTAGCAAGGTGGGTTACAAGACTATCAAAGATGCTCAGAAAGGGTTGATATCCACTCTAACCAATCGCAAGTTTGACATTTCCTTCCCAAAGTCAGTTAGAGGGAAAGGAGGGGACAGACGGGGCGCAGGAAGAAACAACAGAGGCGGGGGGGTCTCTGGTCACGTCTGAAACCAGATCGTGGGGGATTAGGTACCTAGGACTATTTGTGGAGGAGAGAGAGCGACTGAGACAGTGGCATTGTCAGAGAATCTCCTTCATGAGGACAGGAGGGGGGATATGGAGAGAATGTATCCTCCTAACTGCACCCCAGTTATTGTAGTTACTATAAACAACCATTCCCCTATAGGTTAGTATTTAGAATAGAATACATTTGTCCCGCTTGCCTGGGCTTTTACTCTGAAATGTATATTGTGTCAAACACTAGGTGTGCCCTGTGCACTGCTCCTCTTAGTCTTAAATTTAATGCAGTCTGAAACCATGGAGATGGTCTCAGTCAGACCATATTTTGGAAATATCTGCCACCTGTTGTTCGACATAGGAAAAGAAAGTGGTGGACAGAGAAGGACAAGGCCTTTTTGGGAAGTAATGGAGTGTGGAGGAGACCCTTGGAGTGTCCCGTGTCCCCGTTTCGAAATTGACGAGCGTGCACACACATTAGTGCAGTGGAGCAATGCTCCCTGTCTGCTGTTTTTTTAAGCGAAGGCCCACAGGGGCTTTTCGGTCCCAGAATTCATTAGGTAGAACGCCCTGAGCAAAAAAGATGTCCTGACAGAGCTAGAGCAACAGGGGGGAAAGACACCCAAGATTACTCAGTGTGTCTGGAAGGGAGGGGGGGGGGTCCAATGACCAAAGTACAGTTTTGTCATGACCACTGCACGTTCCATCCTCCGCATTCACAATAGGCTGCTTATTTCAACATTTGCTTACATAAAAAAAATGCTGTCATGTCCTATGGTCTCTTCCTGCAACAGCTGCGGTCCACAATCAAGTTGGAGGAAGGTGTCATCTCGACAATGGACCTGTGTCGTTACCACGGCAACAAAGCTCTGGAGTCCATCCAGTGTTTCCCTTCCTCTGAGGCACGCTCAGCCTTGGAGAACATCGCTAGCACTGTCACAAAGTTCTGACCCCCCGCCATTCCCTTGTGGCCTCAGGACAAATTGCACAATCAATTGATGCTCAAACACACACACAAGAAAAACAATCTTTGTTCTATTTAAGCCAATCAGTGAGCAGAACACTCGCAATGACCCTTCCCCTCAGTCCTATAGATGTTTACCAGAAATTAAACTACAGATTGCACCTTTTAAAACTCAATTTAACTGTTTGCTATTAAAATAGTTCACATCCAGTCATCTGTTGTTGAGTTATTTTATTGTGTTTGCTACTTTACTACTTTGCTATGTCACTGCAACAGCAAAATCAAATCTAGGAGGGAAAAATGTCATAAAGCTTTCCTTGGCCCTGCCACGAGAAGCACACTTGAAGCTCCGCAAGCAGTAATTATTAATGAGGCCCATTCCCGTGACCTGCAGCAAATGGACAGGAAATGCAAGGGTATTGATTGGGCCACTGCGGGCTGGCGCCAGGGTGGTGGCCTGTGGTTTCCCAGGCACTCTCGGCAGGGACAGCCAAGGTGTGAAACTGGGTGGAGGAGCATCACCACTACCACCAGTGTCTGTCTGTCACATGCGGCCCGGCCTGAAGGGCACAGGAGACCGAAGGGGAAAAGACAAGGACTGAGAGGCGGATCAAGGAATGCAGACGGCATTTCAAATACAAATGTGGATCTCAGTCGATGGGAAGTGATAGTAGTTTGAGTTCACTCCCGCTATGTTTTTGGCTCTGTTAGGTTCCTTCATTCAATAGGAACAGTGTGTACAAGGGCATGCCTCTGGCCATTGATTAAATATTCATCCATGCTGTGAGCAGACAGGAGGAAAGAAACATGGGAAGTTTAAGGTACCTGCTTTGGGTCTTCTTCAAATAACTAAAACAAAAGTTTTTATTAAAACTAAGAACATGTTTGACTGAGAACATTTACCTGTCCTTGAGATCCTTGCGACAGGGCCTGAATTACATGTGTGGATCTCTAGTTAGAATTGGGTCCTTACAGATTAGTGATAACTTCAAGGCAGGGAGGAAGGAAGGGTGCATTTTAGATGGCTCCATACAGAGCCACAGCTCCATGTACAGTATCATACATCTGAAACCCAAGACTCTGGTATTGTTCATAGAGATGATTTTTGTGGTTTGCCATCTGTCGCACCCAGACTGCTTGGTTGTCAAGAGGGCTGAGTTTACACAAATGTTGTGGAGGGGGCAGCAGGCATCAGCTACCCCCTGTGGTTGGGTGTCTGTGTGTTGTAATTACAGATGGGGCGCAGTGGAGAGCTAGCCAGCGCAGCAAAACAGATTCCATTACAGCATTCCCACATCATGCTCCTACAGACAGAGGACAATACCACTTCAAAGTCCACAACACACAGAGACTTCAGACTTCAATTAGTGTGTCTTCGAGGGGCAGAATCTCCATATGACACTCAAATGAAGACGAGTACTCTGTGGTCTTGTCTAATAACGTCACAGCATATTTGAAGGAAACCTCTACTCTCTGACAGGAGTGTCCCAAAATGGGGGGGGATCCATCCATCCATCCATCCATCCATCCATCCATCCATCGGTTTGCCTGAATTCTAGACCAAATGATAACTGAAGACCTAGGCTACCCCTTTGCCTTGCATTTACTATTCTATTTTGTGTGCATTGAAAACAAGATGCGTAAAAAGAAATCTGATCCATAATAGTGCCGTGGGATATTAGACTTTTAATTAGTCTTTTTACAAATGACCTCCGTGAACACCTGTTAATACCATCACATGGCTGACTGATGGATGAAACCACTCAGCGCAATATGCTGTTCTCTCTTCAACAGAAATGAGCATATTGTCAAAAAATTGCATTTTAACGAGCACTTCTCAGTGTTAAGTGCTGAATCCCAGCCCCTCTTTGCAAGCCTTCGCTTCAGTGACCCCCGACTCGGCTTTCCAGCACAGGTCTCGTGCTTATTGGCTGACAGATCAGACTGCTGCGCCACACGCTGCCACTGAGCCAGCTCATTACCCAAATAATGACTGTCGCACCATCTCAGCTGCAGTGTCTTGTTATATACCCAACATCGACACATTTGTGACCAGTCAGTGCTAGAACATTGGGTACTAGAGTGTGCGTGGATGTTAGATATGATATGTCCTCTACAGAAAGAGATCAAGTTGTGCTCCCTACATTGTGACAGCACCAATTAGCTAAATCTCTTTGTTAATTTGCAGAATCCATATGTAATGCCATGGAATTTGGGTCTGGGATTTGGAACCTGTCCAATATGGTCATTTCTGGACAATTATTTATATCCATTAGGTGACCCCTTTTGCCTCGAGCAACCCAGGAGAGAGAAGTTCTTATGGGGAGATTCTCAAATGGTATGGTTTTGCTTGCCTCTTTGCCACCTCGCCTCCTTTTGAAAAAGAGAGGAAACGTAGAAACAAAAGCGCTTGTATAAAATGACTCCTTGTCCACTAGCGCGTCATCAGGCAAATTACTGAGTAGTGGTCAAAAGAAATATAGCTAGTTGTGCCAGACATTTTATAGATAAAAAGATAAGTACCCTATCATTTTTAAACATGTGCATGCTTTTCTCCTCCGATAAAACCGCTGTTTCAAAAGGAGTGAGGCAGATTTCAAAACTCTTCCGCATAGGATGCACTTCTGCATCCTCCACCAGAGGAGGTAATCGAGGAGAGGAGCAAACTCCTCCGTTCGCCAATTAATTAATTTACACTTATACATATGGCAACCACTTTTCAGTTTCTGGGTCACGGAGGATGGAGGAGAGGACGGACTTTTACCCAATTGAGAATCTCTGATTGCTTTCTCTTGTATAGCCTCTTGTATAGTTCATATAATTTTAAATGGTACAATAGTAGTTGCCTTTGTCTACATAACGATTTAGGGCTCTATTCAATCTGTGAAGCGTTATAGATTCTACTATAGAAATGTAAAGGCAGTGTTTACCATGAATGCAGTCTCCGCTAAAACGGGAACATTCCCTTTAAATTTCAATCACGGATTTCAGTGATGCGGATTGAATAGAGCCCTTAGAAAGCCTCTTGTCCTCAGAGACAGGCTGCTGTCCACATGCATGAATGCCCTTACAAAACTGGATTTGTATTTTTGGATGCTGAGATATTCCTTGTATCGAAGGGTTATGATGTTGGATTTCAGGCATTTTAATTGTGAAATAAATAAGTTAAAAACATAAAAACATTGCACATATCCCTGACCTAACAAGTATAAGATATTTAATTAAGTTCCCCTGACTTAAAGGGCCATGGGAATCTGACCTGGACCTACAGTAGTGGACCCCATAGAACCATCCATTTCATTACCTCCACCCTCTTTGTTGTAAATGCAATTCCATTTAAAACCACAGTAGGGTGACACACACCATATCGTAATGTTACTTTTTATTGTTGTGGTGCATAAAACCAGTCTATTAATGCCAAATAATATTCAGTCCACCCTCAAAGCACTAGCTTACTAGAGATCGTTTCATTATGCAGTGTAGCCTACTATCTATAGCTATATAAAGTATTAAGCTGCTATTTATAAACTTTTTATAAAAATTACACATCAAATAGCTTACTATCTAAAGTATTAAGCTGCTATTTATAAACTTTTTATAAAAATTACACATCAAATAGCTGTCACGACTTCGGCCGAGGCTGCCTCCTCTCCTTATTCGGGCAGGCTTCGGCGTTCGTCGTCACCGGAGTACTAACCACTGCTGCCCCAATCATCATCACAATTGTCTTGTCTCGTTATCCCCTAATTAGTCAGTGTATAAGTAGGGCCTCCTGTGGGTCTGCCAAACGCCAGGGTTGTGGGTTTGATTCCCACGGGGGGCCAGTATGAAAAATGTATGCACTCACTAAAACTAAGTCGCTCTGGATAAGAGCGTCTGCTAAATGACTAAACTGTAAATGTAAATAAGTGTTCCCTCTGCCCCCTTGTCCTTGTGGGTGATTGTTTATTGTGGAACTCGTGTATTTTGTTCGACGGGAGTATTTTCCCTTGTCTTGTATTTTCCAGTGCACCTATTTTGTGCCCTGGAGTGTGTTTGATGCAGTTCTGCGTAAACCTGTATTTTGCGGATTAAAGCCTGTTTTTCTGTGATTTACCCTCCTGCGCCTGATTCCTTCCACACCACTGTGACGAGGTGTAAATTAAGGAGTCAGGCGCAGGATGTAAAATACCAAAGTCCAGAGTTTATTTCGTTTACATAAATCAAACGCCCAAAGCGTCAAACGAAACTATTACAAGGGAAAACATCCACCTTGGCATAAACACAGTGAATAGTAGCTCAACCAAGCTACACGCTCTCACAACAAACAATCACTCACAAAGACAAGGGGAACAGAGGGAACACTTATACACATACTAATTAGGGGAATGAGCACCAGGTGTGTGTGATTGACAAGACATGACTAGTGGAGTGATGAGAATGGAATCGGCAGTAGCTAGTACTCCGGTGATGACGAACGCCGAAGCCTGCCCGAACCACGAAGGGGGGCAGCCTCGGCGGAAGTCGTAACAACCACCACATCACAATAGCCTACTATCTATAGCTATATAAAGTATTAAGCTGCTATATCTACACTTTTTATAAAAATTATAAATAGCAGCTTAATACTTTATATAGTAGGCTATTTGATATGCAATTTTTATATAAACTTTATAAATAGCAGCTTAATACTTTATATAGCTATAGAAAGTAGGCTATTGTGATGTGGTTGTATTGAAGGAGTCAGGCGCAGGAGGGTAAATCACAGAAAAACAGGCTTTAATCCGCAAAATACAGGTTTACGCAGAACTGCATCAAACACACTCCAGGGCACAAAACAGGTGCACTGGAAAATACAAGGCACACAGGGAAAATACTCCCAGTTGGTAGAGCATGGTGCTTGCAACACCAGGGTTGTGGGTTCGTTTCCCACAGGGGGCCAGTATGAAAATGTATGCACTCACTAACTGTAAGTCGCTCTGGATAAGAGCGTCTGCTAAAATG